CTGTCGGAAGCGTAAGCTTCGATGTTCACGAGAGACGCCAATCTGCGAACACTGTCGTAAGACAGGTACGGCGACATAACGCTTCACCATTTGCTGAAATATCTCACATACCTTATCAGGGCAAGATTGCGTTTACGAGACAAAACGTGCCAAGCCTGGCATGAAAGCCGGTGCCATCGAAAACGTCCACAAAAGGCTTGGTACAGACAATTCTCATATACCACGACAGTATGACTGATTAAAGACCAGATGCATTGGAACGGACGATCGCGAAACAACAGACAACATTAGAAGCCCTGCGCACTGAACAGACATCAAATAATAACGCAGGCTCACAACAAGAAGCTATTGATGGGCAGAGTCTGCTCTTCTCTCTTGCACGTGAGATATGCAAACTCGGCAATCCAGCTCTTACCATTTCTTCAGACACTTCCCATGATTCCGGAAATAAACGTCGTCGAACGGAAGAACACGGTGCGCAACAAGAAAGGCTTCATTATGTGGTCAATCAGCCCACTCTGCCAGACAATGTCATCCTCGATCAAGTCATAGACGCCTACTTTCGGCAGATACATCCATGGATTCCTATGATACACGAAGGCCGATTTCGCAAACGACTTCAAGATCATGGCGATAACACAAACTTGCTTCCACTCCTACAAGCCATGATCTTGAGTGCCTCACATCATGTTCCTAGGCGCGACGTCGCCGAGATAGCACAGAGTCTTATTGGGGACCAAGAGGATGTCAGAGACTGGGTGGTTGCCAAAGCTACCAAATGTCTGTCAGTGGAGAACCTACAAGCTCTAATAATTATCTGTTTCCGTGATGTAAGCTAGCGCTTGATCCTTGATTCACTCTCGGGGCTAACACGAATTCAAGATTGGTGACGGAGAAGAGTGTCGAGCATGGTCGCTTATCGGTGCTTTAACTCGCATGGTTGAATATCTCCAGCTCACGATAGAAAGCGACGAAGCAGACCGTTCATCCTTTTCGCGACCATACACCTCTCTACACCCGCCACATGGATGGACAGAAGCGGAAGAAAGAAGGAGGGTATTTTGGTGTGTCTTCAACCTAGATCGCTTCTGCTCCTTCACCACGGCTTGGAATACTAGCCTCACCTCAGATGATGTCAACCGCCGATTGCCCTGCGATGGAATAACATGGAGAAAAGAGGAGACTGTATCCACCCCATACTTTGGTATCTGGGATAAATCGGCCGCACGCATCGGAAACCCCATCGCGTTTCTCCCTTCACATTCTACCACCGCGCCAGCCACTGCCGATGAAGGCGGTATTACACCATCCGAAGCAACAACATCGCCGGGAGCAGCAGCCTCTTCTGTTGATATGTCGACAGTCGGGGCTTTTGCGTATTGTATCGAGGCAACCGAGTCACTGAGTCGCGTCACGAGTTACTTTCTCCAGCAGAAGGTCAATACCAAGGACCATAACGATCTCGGTAGTTGGCTCACAAGATTCAAAGAGCTCGACGTGCGGTTGGTGCACTGGAAGATGCTTCTCCCTAAGAAGTGGAAAGTGAATATTGCTCAGCAATCGTCGAGGATGGATCCAAACCTTACGCTAGCTCACGTCACGCACAATGCATCTATGATACTACTTCATCAGCCCATCGCCTTTCCTCCTCTGGACTGGACTTTCCGAACAAGGCTACCGAGCTTCTGCAGCCTTGATACTTGCCAAGCGGCAGCTATCGAGATCGCCACGATAACGAACCACTACCTCCAGATTGCTGAGCATACAGGGCCTCTGAGTAATCAATATGCTTTCTGTGTATACCTTGCGGCCAGAGTTCTGCTTTTACATTGGCGGTATCATGCTACCGATTCTTTGTCATCCGAGTTCTGGGCATTGATACAAAACCTAGAAACCATGGCTAAACGATGGGCGGGGCCTCATCAACTCGGAACTAGGGAGAATCTAGCATCCAAGTATCAGGCTGTTCTTGTTGACTTGCATACTCGATGCGTTCAAGACGCATCTTTCAACATCAACCCTTCGGCTTATACAACAGAAGTTAAGCACTCTCGATCAGTGTCACAACACTTAGATGCGGCTCCGAGATTGCAAGGTCATCAAGCTGTTAGACATCCAGCCCAAGAGAATGGAGGCCCCTCATTCGCAGGCAATGTGTCAGCTAACGCATACTACCCTGGTGCGACGCCTAGCTTAGTCAATGGTCAAGCAGGGCAAAGAAGCGGTAGTGTAGGAAGTGGAGACTTGGGCATGATTTCTCAGATGCTCCTTGATGCCGAGTTTATTGATATGGATCGCGTTATTAGCTTTGATGATGGTATCTTTGGAACTGAACACGAGAGCGGGTGCTTCTGAGGGTGTGTGGTGTATTATTATCAATGTAATTCTCATCCTTCTTTCTTATTAAAATTCAGCAACTAAAAGTGGCCAATTATTCACAATGAGATCAGGACTCGGTGTGTTGAGAGTTTCGCAAATGGCAGCAGTCGGCCTTCGGCGTAGCATCCACCGACGCCAGTAAAGAAACAACATTTTCGTATAGAAGGCCAGTTCACAAATCGGCTCACTGTAAATTACCCCAGGTTTCTCACAGCCTTGGCAATCGATAAAACTTGGAGATCCCCCGTTGCCCGAGAAAGTTGCCCCGACAGATTTGCCCCGATGGCTTTTGGTGGCAGACCAGCTTCAAACTGGGGTGACCCCATGGGGACGGGCATGCGGGGTAATGCGACCCCGGATTCAGAACAAGCACACGATCGACAGATACAAGAAGACAGTCAAGACGATCATTATAGTCAAATTCCATCAGCTCATATCTCAATCTAAGGGCACGATCAAAGTTGAACGCATTCTAACAGTGTCACCTTGCAATCCATCGCAATGACTTCTCAACCGAGGACCAACGATGGGCTCGAGATCCAGCCTACGAATGAGCAGCCACAGACTCGCCGGGACATCGCTGGCAACCCCGAAGAGATCCCCGAGCCAGTAGTCAAGAACGGAGTTGTCGTTAGTTCGGCGACCAAACCCGAGGCCAAGAGTGTCTGGCTCGCCTGGCTCTACATCTTCAATTGGTACCCTGGTCATTACAGCAAAGAGGAGAAGCGACTTCTCAGAAAGCTGGATCGCACCATTCTGCCACTTATGTAAGCTCAAGCATTCTTCTACTAGCACGATTGGCTAATGACCTCGCTTTCAGTTGTTCCATGTGTAAGTCCCGACCTGAAATCGGCAATCCCTAGTAATAGTAGCGCTAACAGTTGATAGACTTCATCAAGTGGCTTGACCAGTCCAATATTAACAATGCCTATAATTCGGGCATGAAAGAAGAGCTTAATCTTAAAGGCATCGAGTAAGTTGGCTGCATCTCTACAGTTTGCACATCTAACCTGATTCAGGTACAACTTGTTCTCTACCTTCTACAACATCGGCTATCTCGTAATGGAAATCCCCTGCATGCTGCTCATTTCTCGTCCCAAATATGCTCGTTGGGTTCTGCCCATCTGCGAGACTCTTTGGTCTATCATCACCTTTGTTCAATGCCGGAACAATAGCGCCCCAATGATTTACGGCATGCGATTCCTCATGGGGCTGTTCGAAACCCCAGCTGCTACTGGCTCTTTATACGTTCTGTCCTCTTGGTATCGATCTGATGAAGTGTTCAAGCGTGCTGGGGTGTGGTATGTTTCGAGCAATATCGGTGCCATGTTTGGTGGATACATGCAAGCTGCCGCTCATGCTGGTCTCGACGGAAAGGGAGGCATGGCTGGCTGGTAAGTTGGCGGAATCCGTTCCCTACTTCTCGTAGCTCTCTGACTCTTGTGACTTTAGGCGCTGGGTCTTTATCATTGATGGCATCATTTCCCTGCCAATTGCCATTGCCGGCTTTTTTCTCTATCCGGGTGTGCCTACCAGCCCTCGTGTCTGGTGGCTCAGTGAAGACGACCAAAAGCTTGCTCAGGCACGTATGCAAGACGATGGGATGAGGAAGAGCAAGAAGATTGGCAAGAAGATGCTGAAGCGTGTCTTCCGGAAGTGGCACTTTTACATCGCTGTCTGTACCTACGTCTGGTGAGTCTTGTACCTTCTTGAGCTGCAGCTCCTCAGAATTGGCTGGGACTAACGATGCTAGCTTTCAACTGACTACCTGGGTTGCTGGCCAGATGATTGTCTGGGTAAAGTCTACCGGCCAATACTCTGTGGAGATGATCAACATTCTGCCAACGGGAGTCCAAGCACTAGCCATTGTTGTGGGCATTACTGTGCCTTCGTTTGTCATGTCAGTTCCAGGACCCTCGCCTATCTCTTTAAACTAGAAGCTCACACTTCCTACAGGGTTTATCCAATCTGGGTGCCTTTCTGCTTTGCAGGAGCTGTCCTCCTGTTCTGCCACTCGACCCTTTTAGTCTGGAACATTCCTCTCGGATTGCATTTCGCCGCATACTTCCTCCTTGGTATGAGTTCTTGTATCACCCCCATGCTTTTCCCATGGGTGCACCTGATCATGAAGGACGACAATGAAGCAAGAAGCTTTACTACCGGCGCCATGGTGAGTTGATCAACATTCTAACCGACCTTATTTTGAAGCTTATGAGAACTCTTAGATGACTGTTGGCTGGGCCTTCTTTACCTGGTACAACGTTGTCGCGTTCCCCATCACTCAAGGTCCTCGTTGGACCAAGGGTTTCTCAGCAAATGTCGCTCTCACCTGCTGTTATCTGACTCTATTCATGATTGGCCAATTCCTCTGGAGACGGGACATCAAAGCTGGTCTGTACAAGAGAGCTATTGAAGAAGAGGAGAATGAAGAGGCAGTGAATGAGAAGCTTGGCCCAGACGCTTTGGACGACAAGGTTACTGATCATCAAGTTGGGCGGGCTCACATTGAGGACAAGAACGCCGAGGATGAGAGGATCAAGGAGATCAAATAAGACTCGTAGAGCATTCGGCTACACCAGTCAATATGTACAAGTCGGTCTCACACGATACGTCACGGAGGAGCTATTTACACAAGGGAATATAAAATAGGAGTACATTAGGGAAAGCTATAAGTCCAGTAGATATTCCTTCCATCACATGGCTGAACAGTGTAAGATCGCTCATATTTGCCGTAAATTACAACTTTCTATCATAAAGTGGCTTGTGCTCTTCATGGATGCTGTGCTCACACTCATAATCGACGTGAACAAATGCCCGCTCAACATCACCAAGTCCTGCGAGATGTTAGCGGAGGTCGACAAAGAACGACTATGTGGAATCTACCTTCAATCTTTCGCTGCAGTGACTGAGCAACATCATGGCTGATCTTGAGAGATGTTTGCTCATCCATGACGATATCTACCTCGACATAATACTTTTGCCCAGCATGATACGCGCGGCACTTCTCTTTGTTAGTTGACTGTCGATACATCTGGTGTGCTACTCACTGTCTCGACCATAGAGATCTGGTCATCATGCGTTATGCTCATGTAGATCAACTTGGCAATAAACTCTTGGGGCGCGGCCTTGCCGACTAGTAGCCATATTTGTTCAAAGGCATTAGAGATCCATGAGAAAAGGATCAGAAGTGCGATGCAGATAGCACCGATAGGGTCCAGATACCAGATGAACTTGTCACCTACGACCGACATGATGAGGCCAAAGCTGTTGACAGCAATGTCGTTACGGTGGTCAATCTACCAGATGATTAGAGAGATAGCCAAGATGGTCTCCGTCAGGCTTACAAAGAACACATGAACCGATGGATACTTTCGGTAAGTCATGCAATACAGCATGAGAGATGCCTTGCTGAAGACTAGAACACCATCAGCGATTGCGAATTGCGACTTGGATAGTTCACTCACTAGCGACGCAAACAAATATAATTGGTATCAGGTGAAGCTCCTCAGACTCGGTCTTGCCGGTGCCCAATGTTCTGGCTGATTCGATCAGAAGCTGGACCGCGACCGTTGTCATGAGGGCGCAGAAAAGGATGACTCCAATGGTTTCAATCCGCGTTCGACCCTAGAACACCATAAGTTGCTGCATCGAGGACTTTGGGGATAACATGACATACAACAGGATATTTGTAGATGCTTGGTCGAGCCGCCAGCCAAGAGGTAATGAGCATCACGAAAGAAGAAACAAGGTCCATCTGCGTCAACGTTAGAACACATCGCTTAACAAGCGACTGTTACTTACAAACGCATCTGCTGCTGTAGCGAATAGCTGTGACCCATGTTAGCTACCGGCCTGTACTATAATAGATGTACGCTCATACCGCCAAAGATCCCGTCGAGATAGCCGCATACAACTGAATGACGAAAAGGCAAAAGTTGACTACAAAGGATGCATTAACTGCAAACTTGATCTTGCCTGCCACACGAGCCTCTTCTTCAGCTTGGGCCCTCTCTTCATCATCGATGCCAAGAAACTGGTCTATAAGCTTATTTTGTCGGGTATAGAACTTCCGAAGCAAGCGTGCATCGCCTTGTGGGTAATCGTTCTTGATTTGTTCTTTTGTTACGTCTTCGCGTCGTCGGGATGTGAGGTTGAAAGGGTCGTTGACTTCCTCCATGATGGAGTGTTGCAGTGAGGGTGGCGTAGAGGATGGTACGCTGACGATTGAGGTAGTGTTCGATGGGAGTGTTCTTTTGACTTTCTGGAAGCTTTTGGAAAGGTAGCGCAAGTTTTCGATAGGAAACTGATGTCTTGGCGATTCCAGGAGAGAGCCACCTAGATATACACATGGCTGGATAGACAAAAGTCAAAGTAGGCTTTTTCGGCCGTGTGGCTTTTATTACACCGAAAAGATGCTGCTCCATGATTTCGCTAGCTACGTGTAATAATGATCTGGAACCGTTGCAGAGCAAGTAGATCCCGGCTATCCGGCACCGTAACGCGGGGGTAGATCCTAGCGAGCTGGAACCAGGTCCAACGACGGAAGCCAATAAGACAGCTTGAAAAGAAATATTACCCGGAGAAAATATACCTGAGTTGTCCTTGGCTGGGATACCATTGTGGATTTGTATCATGCACAGCCTGGATTACAGAGATCCGACGTGGTATTGAGGCTGTCATTTTTGAGACGGGATGATTTGTTTCAATGGCTATTGCTTATGTTCGAGACAGTTCTCCCATTACGTCGTCACCTTCGGCACCCGGTGACATACGTAGCACAGTAAGTATCAGACTATTTTATTTCTCTATTAATACAGAAGGACTGGGAGAAAGACTACACTGGAATCATAACTTGGATACTTCCTGTCGCCGACAGATGAATACGCCACGGTGGCAACAGGGTAGCTGGCTTGGAAAGGGGTTTATGTATAGGGGCGGAACTTTGACTACACCGCTCGTTGGATACACAGTGTCAAGCGGCCCGTTCAAGAAATCGAGAGCCTCGTAAAAGAGAAAACTAAAAGGGCGCAAGACTTGGGAATGTGAGATTGTCGTCATCTCAAAAGCTTGGATGCATCACACCCTTTTTTTAACGGGCCAAGAAGAAGCTTAACTGGCAGTGCACTACTCCCAATTTGACCTAGGCTTGGCGGGATAGTGGATCCGGAATCGCAGACATCCTATTACTAAGCGGTTTGGCTGGTTTCCGTGAGATCTAAATCTCATCGGTGAAATTATTGCCTAAAGACCGAGCCCACCATCCGTAGATCACTCTTTTTCCATCTCTGACCCCTCCTCTGAGACTTACCATTCTACTGAATGGATGAATCAGGCCACTTATGGCAAGACAATGAAAGATAATTGCAGGTGATAATTATCTTTATCCTTGAACTATTTATAGGCAGATGCATCTTTAATTGAGATAGACTTTATCTGGAATCTTGGTAATGCCGGCTAATTGTGGAGCAGACATGATTACGCGCCGGTCAGCCAAGTCAGCCTAAGGTGATTAGCGTCCCTGTGCATGCCAACGTCGGTGTTGTCACCGTGCCCAGACGCCACTATTTTGTGGGAAGCAATGACAGAATAATCTCCGGCGAGATGGCTCCCTTTGTTGGGAGAGAAAGAAACCTGCAATTGCCTGTCATATGATTCGTTCTTTTTGCCATCTGCTATATCCTTGTTTCGTCTGGTTTTTTGTTTCTTACTTCTTATTATTCCTTCTGAAACTTAATACACAAGATGGCCGACCAGACAGAGAAGATCACTATGAGCTCAGTACATGCCCGCGCTCACGTACAAGGAAAAGATGTCGAGGTCCAACATGATATCGACGATCCTTTGGGTCTTTCTGCACACATCAAGCTAGATTCCGACATGCCCAGAGCCAACACCTCACGCAAGCGTCGTCTAGGTCTCAAGAAGAATCACCCGCTGCAGGAGTTTTACGAAACACAGAACCAGAGCATCCGGGCCATGCTCAAGTCGGTGGAAGAGCACGAGCAAGAGGTGACAGACGCTCACGGCGCCAATACACTCATGTACAACATCTGCGTCAAGGGTTCTTTGGTCGCCAACATCATTCTCTCCGGTCTCCAGCTGTATGGCGCTATCTCATCCAGCTCCCTCTCGCTTTTCACCACTATGGCCGACTCCGTCTTCGATCCCATGTCTGGTATAATGCTGTACATGGCCCACCGAGCCGTCAACAAAGTCGACCCGAATAAATACCCTTCAGGCAGAGCCCGTATCTCGACTGCTGGCAACATCGTCTTCTCCTTCATCATGTTTTCCGTCTCACTGGTCCTTATCGTCATGTCTGCCCGTGACCTGGCCGCCGGATCTGAGGAGGAGACCAACAAGTTTCATTTGCCGTCGGTCATTGCCGTGACTGTTGCCTTTGCTACCAAGCTGGGACTTTTCTTCTTGTGCTGGACTGTGAAGGACATTTACAGTCAGGTTGACATCCTTTGGCGCGACCACCGAAACGATCTCTTTATCAACGGCTTCGGCATTCTCACATCTGTCGGTGGCTCCAAATTGAAGTGGTGGATTGACCCGATGGGCGCCATCATCTTATCCGTTCTCATCGCTGGCCTCTGGCTCCATACCGCCTACGACGAGTTTCAGCTGATGATCGGTGTAACCGCGGACAAAGACATCCTACAGCTCATCACATATATCTGTGAGTATACCACCCCATTGACTTGTAGGTGAATGCTGACTGTTCAGCTATGACACACTCGCCTCTCATCGAAAAGGTCGATACAGTGAGGGCTTACTACTCGGGCCCCCGGCTTGTTGCAGAGGTCGACATAGTGATTGATCGCAACGAGCGAGTTGAGGTAGCACATGACGTTGCGGAAGACCTTCAGATTAAGCTAGAGAAGCTGCCCGTCATTGAGCGTGCCTTTGTGCACATTGACTATGAAACTAGTCATAAGCCAGTAAGCTCATCACCTCATGCTTATCCAAGTCTCATTTTGCTAACGAGTATAATTAGGAACATAATCTAAAAAAGCTGATGTAACCGGAACTGCATTCCTCTATAAAAGTGTCAATGTGGAGATGCGTACAGTACAAATACAAACATAGATGCCTGCCCTATAGAATATGAACCGACGGTGACCCTGTGTCCTGTTTAAAATTAGAGTTCGACTGATTGAGCTTGAGCTTTTCGTAAGAACAATAGGTTCCCCCGCACCAACGGGGAAACTCAAGCCAGGATTATGCAGGCCGGTATTAAGCCCACTGGTTTACCAGCAAGTGTAGATAATAGTAACGAGCCACACCAGCGGAGTGTTGAACATGTATAATAAGGTCGATTCCGAGCGCAAAGAATATCTGGCATATCTTCAGGCTATCTTCTGTTTTGACTTGGCGCAATTGGCACATGCGTAAAGAACATAACAAAGACTTGACATGGGGAAAGCTTGGATCTGGTCAGTTGAGGTGCCGCTTTGGTATGTCTCTCTTGATTGCATTAGCCAGATGACCTTTGTCAAGTGATATCTAGATGTAAATTAACTCCTTGTAAATTGTATAGAGCAGACAGCGCATGAAAAAGGGCGCAACCCCAGATGCCTCCGAACGTGTTCTTCACGACTAAACGATCGTCGGCAGTAGCGATAAATTAGATTATCTGGGTCCATCATGGCTTCAGTCTAGGCCTTGCAGTACGGTTCAGGTCAAGATGTTTGCTGTTGGTTAATTTGGCGAAAGGCAAGGGTGTGTTTCTTATCGCAGCAGACTAGTATAATATATGTTAAGGGTAGAGAAACAGGGAGAGGTAAGAGTCTGGAAGTGGCAGTATATTCTCAGATTTAGAACTAAAATTCGGACTTAGCACCCGTTGATTAGAACCTGGCCTTACTGTTTTTGCCAAGGTTCTATAAAAAAACGGTTAGATACAGTCTCCTGTTAATTTAGTGCAGTGATGTCTAATGGTCTGTGCTTCGACTCTTACTTAATTACTCCGATGCAAAGAACGGACATCGGTAAAGATTAAAGTCCGAGTTGAGAATTAGCTATGGGTAGGTGTTCCGGTCCATACAAGTCGACAAGCAATTCTCACCGACTCCGAGTTTAGTAGCTATAGGTTTAAGCTTTTTGCTTATAAAAGCCTCCTTAAAGGAGAACAGTTTGCTTTCTCGTTCCATAGAATAATAACTCCAGGGCTCTACTTAATAGATGGTTAACACTTCATTGCTTCACACATCTACTGCTTCAAGCATCATCACCATTACGACCCAAAAAACATTTTCGGTACATCAAATGCCGACCAATCGAGCTGCTTGGATCAGGGGACCAAAGTCCTATCCCTTGGAGGTGGGGCCAGCCACGTTTCCGACTCCGAAGTCGGGTGAGGTTATCATCAAGGCCCAAACCTATGCTCTGGTAAGAAGGCAGCCACAGTTTGTTGTATGGAACACTCCATCACTAACAGTCATCCCATATTTAGAATCCAGTCGAATGGAAAGTCCAGTAAGTATCACTTGGTCGTAGAGAAAAAAGCTCATTATCCATCTAACATGATCCTAACAGAGAACAAGACTTCTTTGTAAAGACCTACCCGTTCATCCTCGGCGCTGACGTTGCAGGTTATGTTGAAGATGTTGGCGAAGGTGTTACTCATGTTCAAAAGGGCCAACGTGTCATGGGGTAACCAACCCCTTTGCCCCACGGCGCAAGGAACAAACAACTAAGCTAATCATGATCCAGATACTGCATTGGCTTGGGAGTAAACGACCCAGCATTTGGTGGTTTCCAGCTCTACCCTACTCTGTTTGCTTCGTTGGTCTGTCCAATTCCGGATAGTCTGAGCTTCAACGAGGCAGCCGTGGCTCCCCTTGCTGTGACTACGGCAGCGGTGAACCTATACCACCGCTCTCACCTAGGCTTGCCACTTCCAAGCCTAAACCCTCAACCCAGTGGCAAGGCCATTTTGGTCTGGGGCGGATCATCTTCAGTCGGTTCTACGGCTATTCAGTTATCTATTGCTTCTGGTCTGGAAGTAATAAGCACGGCGTCGAAGCTCAATCATAACCTCGTCAAGTCCGTTGGTGCGACTACCGTCCTTGACTACAAAAGTCCTACCATTGTGCAAGACGTTGTGTCTGTGCTGTCAGGTCGTGAACTTGTTGGCATCTTTGACGCTATTTCAGAGCCAGAATCCATCAGACCTGTCAGCGAAATTCTCGATCAAGTTGGCAGCCACAAAGTTGGTCTTGTGGTGCCACCAACAATCGAGCTGTCCAAGAACTTCATCCCCACATTGTGTAAGGCCAGCCACGAGCACATACTGTGATTTTGTTTCCCATATTAATCATTCGGTAGCGCTTGCTTTTGAGATCTTGAATAATGATGAAAGCAAGGTTTTGAACCACATATGGCAGGAATTTCTGCCCGAATCTATTCGCCGAGGTAGCTTCCAACTCCAGCCTCCCCCGGTCATTGTTGGCAAGGGCCTTGGTCACATCCAGCAAGGACTAGATAAGTTGAGATCTGGAGTCTCAGGTCAAAAGTTTATCGTGCACGTCTGACAGGTGTCTGTTCGGTGCTTGCATCCATGTCATAGATTCTCGTGGAAGGGCAGAGGAGCATGGACGATGGATGCCGCGTTGCTTGGAAATTGTTCGGTTTTCAACCGCCTTTCCTCTACTCCTTTGTTGTTCTGTACTGATATCCAACAATCCTGTAAATGAGACAGAGGAAGAAAACAAGGTGGCAGATTCTCGGTAAAGACTGGATAGTTTAATAAATATAACCTCTGTAACTAAATCCTAGCCATTTATCTTTAACCAAGGGCAGGCATAACAAGCTTATTACCGCCATTAGCACTTACAGCAGCACCATTAACCCAACGACCCTCTTCACTTGCGAGGAAGCTCACGACATAGGCGATATCGTCAGGAACACCAATTCTTTCTCCCGCGGTTGTGTCTCGGATCTGCCCATCGAGAAAGCCTGGTGGCATCATGTGTTGGCTGGCTTTGATTGAGTCTGTGGCTGTTAGGCCCACAATGACACTGTTGAACGTTGCTTTCTTCAACTTGGAGAAGTTTTCGGCAAAGGCTCGGGTGTAGCTCTGGAGAGCGGTTTTGCTAGCTCCATAGTCGACAGTCGGATCGCTATTGGCTTGGTAGGCTAGAACGCTTGAGATGTTTATCACTCGGCCTCCGTAGTCGGGAAGATGAGGTAGCAGGGCCGTTGTGATTGAAACCGGAGCGTAAACGTTTGCCTGCATTATCTCGAGAAACACGTCCAAGGTTGTGTCTTTAATCGGTAATGCCTTGGCAGGGTCAGCCAAGACGGCATTGTTAACGAGGATGTCGACAACTGTAGTGTCTAGTCTCTTGACGACCTCGGCAATGGTTTTCGGTCCAAACTGAGGATCAAGCGCGTCTGCTTTGATGGCGATTGCCTGCTCCACGCCGAGTTCCTGGCATCTCTTTAGAGTTTCCTCTGCAGCCTCGATGTTGCTTGCATATGTGATCGCCAGTTTGGTAAGGCCCTTGCGTGCCAAGTGAATGGAAATAGCTTGCCCAATACCGCGAGAGCCTCCTGTCACAATGGCAGTCTTGCCATTCAATGACCAAGGTGCATCAGACGAAGGGGGCGCGGACATTTTGTTCTTTGAAAACTTTGTGAGGTGGTTTTGATTTAGGAAGAAAAGGTTGATTTGCTTGCTTGACCATTTCTTAGGTTCACACTGATGTCTAGTATTTGTACTCCTCTTGAATTAATATCTACTGGCATGATGTGATCGGATTTAATGCAACTTGGATGCCGAAAGCTAGGACGCCAAAAGTCCGCTCACTCAAGGAAAGGATGAGCTTCGAGTAAAGCGGAGTTGTACTACTGAAAAATGGTAACAGTTTAATTGTGGAGACTTGAGAGAATAGAAAACTTTATTTAGGAAGCATTGATGTACCGTATAGAATACGAGCGGAGATTGAAGCATTGACTATAAGTGGAGTTCGACTTCAAGACACCTTAACTCCGTAATTTCCTTTCAGATCTGCAGGAACAACTGTTTACAGCAGTGAATCTGTAGTATAGTGGCTACACTCTATTCTTCCGCTCCTGGTGTTGTCTCAAAAGTTGCTTCCCATAATCATTACCATTTGGGGTTCTGACCAGAGTGTGAATGTGAAAGGGAAGAGGCTCCTTATTGTTGAGAAAGACGCCCGAATGATGATCGAACTCAACCATGATGACCGGAGAATGCACTTTGTAGTAAAAGGCATCTCTGTCTCCAAATCCGCCAATCCAGCAGAACCACGTGTCATTCCAGTGGCTAGCAATTTGTTCAAGGTGGGAGGCTAGTGCTTTCTCCGGGAGGTAGTTCAGACTTAGTTTGACCAATTTGCGGACCGCGTCTTGTTGAGGCTCGGAGAATGTTGTTACCCTGACACCCTCGTATGGGACTATGCGGTTGTCCTGAAAAGCACCTCCGAGATGTCGCTGATCTGCTCGATGCCATCGTCCTGGAGGGTACTCGTCGCCACTCAGCTTCTTGTAGATCTGAACGTCTTTCTGAACCTCGGGATCAAACGACTGCATAAGGCTGAGGGCAGTCTGTTCTTGATCAACGAAAAGCTCAAGACCCTCATGAGGACCTGCATCAATGATGTTAGGCTCAGCACCCATAAAGACAGGTGACACCACCATCTGCGTTCCGACCATGAAGCAATTCATGCAGAGGTGGTGGCCGAATATCTGCCAGCCCCATGGCTCTTCTGGAGATGGTGTGCCGAAGATGGCAAAGTTGTACGAGTTCTCGTTTAGAACTTTAGTGCCGTTGACTACCTCGCCGAGGAATTGGTTGACTTTCATACAACCATGAGCCTTTTCATATCCCTCGGCTGATAGACTCGCTTGCATGAGAATATGTAAAGCTGCGACAAGATCCTTGGAGGCTTCTTCCAGTCGCACACCATGCTTGAAGACATAAATCTCAGGGTTCATCCAAAAGCGCCATTCTGGTGCATCAACCGGTCTGAGAAGTTTCTCTCTCTCCTCTTCTGATGCAACATTGATGGCGTTCTGGGCAGCCTTGACAGCATGTGTTGGAGCTCCGAAATTCTCATTTCTGTCTGCCAGACGGAACAGGTTGGGGATCACCTTTCCATCTGTCGTGATTCCCTTATAAGGCTGGTCGTAGCGTTCTTTCCAAGCCTTCATCCACCCGATCATGAATGGCTCAGAGCATCGATGGTCAGCCCACTGGTAAGTGTCAGACTCTGCCAATTGTATGCTTCTTGGGGCATCCGCGGGCGGGATGTAATCACGAAATCCCGCAGGAGAGCGAGTTTGTGTCATGTTTTTGGCGCCGACACGACAGTCAATGTGAAAGATGTCTGTGGCGATTATGATAACGAATAGGTCTCACTAATGTATGTGCACGCCTATAACCCAGATAGGTACTGAAAGGATAAGGAAGATGAACTAATCGTGGCTCTTACTGTGGACTTCGCATATAAAACAGGCTCATTATGAGCTCGTCAGGAGCTCTCATTCACTACAAGACCAACGTCTGCCGATTTCTGATCAGCTCATAATTCTGAGCCCTCGGCAGCGGCCGGAAGACATCTGGAACAGGCGCTGCTGTCCAGGATTGAGAAGTAGAAAGGCTCTCGCGGACGTGTCGCGCTCTTTTCCGTTCCGAGGTCATCACCACCACCGAGTTCCATCTTGGGTGATGACGCATGAGCGAATAGGCGATTGTCCCCACGCACCATCTGAGACGCGCGGTCGGTAGCGCGTTATGGCTTAGGCGTGTCCACAACGCGCTGTTCCGAAATCCCGCCAATGCCCCCCGCAGCCACGGAAGCGAAGGGAGACGGGTCAACGTACTGACTTGGTCCAGAGCCATGCCAGCTCAGCAGTGATGCAAATTAAGTCCTTTGGCGTATTTTTTAGAAGTCTCTGATGCAGGTAAACAAGTACGATGGTCGCATCAGGTTCAACGGTTGATGGAGGCAGAGATTGCCGCTGTGACGTAGTGCTTAATGCCTGATATCTGTTTCCTTTGTGTATACCCTGTACTTACCTTGCAGTCCTCTATTATTTAAAGAAATAAAGGAATAAATAAGTATATAAGTATATATAATAAGTAATTTAGTAATTATTTAATTTAATTCAACTTAATTACTTTTTATACTTTCCTTTTACAATATTATTATATTTTATTCAATTTTTACGTATTTTTCTCAATATCGATAGCCTTGATCGATTGATCCACTGCGAAGGATAGCTAGAAGTGATTGTATGGGTTTCTTGCCCTCGCAGTCCGGGACCTATATCGACACTATTCCCTTGTACGATAGGAAGAAGCGACTCTACTATCAGGATTCCCATTGGAAGTTCGATATAGTCAGTAGTGATACGCTCGCACCTTTCTCACCTCTCCACCCAAGTATCACCGAACCGCGCGCTCTTGAATTACGCTTCATATCACCGAAAACCACCATCACCAGGCTCACATCTCGCTGCCTTTGCCTCCGAGAATTCTTGGTCATACATCTTGACATGATCCAGATTTTCTTTGCCCGTTAGCCTAGAGTTGGTTGACTGGTAAAGGCCAACAGACGCGCATTACGTGTTTTTGTCCTTGACATCACATCGAGTGGTTCAGTTGGGATACAAGGTGTTTGGTCTACGAATTGTATGGCCGACGAAAGACATAATTAAATCTGGCGCTCCTCACAATCAATATTAAGCAGGACAAATGCCACTCTAGAGATTCGAATGTCTTCAGTCCTGGTGAGGTTCCTTCGTACTTACCAGGCCTCACAACTTGAGCAGCCCAAAGGTGCCTGTGTAGCTTCAAACTACTGAAAGGCCTTCTGAGGGCGAAGCTGCATCATCGATGAGAGACAGTTTATTTTTCGCAGCCCCCGATTTAAGGTCATGATTGAGCTGCGGAAGCGCTTGCTGTCTAAAAGGTTAAACCTCAGGCAGTACCCCCAAGGAGGAAGGCAACTTTAGGCCTATCATCTTACGTATAAATCAACTCAAAGAAACCTTTAATCTCTGAGAAAGTAGAACCTAAGACTTGATACCTTGTCTAGAGAAACTCGAATTATTTAAGGTTTTGCCTTTTTGTTATTTATATCCTACCCTAATTACTTTACCTTTTGTTTTCTGTCGCCCGTGACGTTATCCCCTACTTTTCGATTTGACTCTTCCTGCTATCACCATGCCGTCTTACACGACCGCAGCATTAAAAGACATCAGCTTCTGAGACAGCAACGCTTGTCTGACTGGCAGAGGTATAAGGGGTCTTCTTATTACCTTAATGCATTATTAAGAAATAAAGATATTAATAAAATAAAAAAATATTATATAATATAAGCGGCTTTCTTTGAATATAACTATAGAAAATATATAATAGAAATAAAATACAAGGCAGGATTGATAATATAAATATCTTACAATGAGTTCCAAACTCCTACGTAATCCACTTCCAAGTTAACCGAGGGCCCATCAATCGTGGCATTGTTTGGTGGGCCAGGCCAGTTTCCACCGACGGCCACGTTAAGCAGCAGGAAATGCTCCTTATGCGCCAGCTTCACCCAGGTCGGCTCGTCCCCAACAGTCGCACCCGTGACATTGAAGATCTTCTTTCCATCCAGAAACCAGTTCAGCGACTCGTCCCGCCAAGATCCGTTCTTTCCCTCGCCGCACATGCTCCTGTCAACCATGAAACCTAGCGTATGGAACTCGCCCCTGGAAAAGTCCCTGCCTCCACTTCCAATCCCGTTATACTCGTTACATGGTCCTCCAGGAGCAGTCCCGCAGTGGATGGTGGAATACATCTTCGATTCACCATTGATCACCTCGAGAATATCCCACTCTGTAGCCATCGGCCAGTTTGTGTAGTTACCTCTGAACTCCGTGCCCAAAGCCCAGAAGGCGGGCCAGATGCCTTGCATCTGTGAGGCCGGCGCTCCACCGACTTTGAGGCGCGCCTCAACAAGCAATTTCCCTCCTTCTTTAGCAACAAAATCGCTTCTTTGAGTCTCAATCCTTGCTGATGTCCATTTACCCTCTTTGAGTCGTGGTGTAATAGCCAAATTTTGGTCTTTTGTTATGTGTACGTTGGAAGGGTCCTTGGTGTAGGTTTCGAACTCGTTGTTTCCCCATCGCTCTGCTCCGCCTGGGTACGAAGTTCCGAGGTCGAAGATCCAGTTCGAGGACGAGGGAAGTGATCCTGGATAACCGAAGAATGTATCAATGAATGTTGGAGCAAAGCCGGGTTTGATGAGTGGAGTGATTTTGGAAACCGGGCTCGCCACCGTGGCAGTCAACACCATGAGGGTTAAAAAGAGTGACTTCATGATGAAGAGGTTCAAAAGAGTGACTGAAATAGAAAAAAGGAATGTATGTAATAGAGAAGGGTGCAAAGATAAGATCTTGCCATAGAGGGGACAGATATCATGTATTTATAGCATTTTAGGTAATGTATAAATTAGCTTTTAATTATATAGAGTTTAATTAGAAAATATTATTCTTTCAAAGTTACTAAGCATTAAACACCTGCCTTTCTATTATTAGTGGCCAAAGCTAATTAAGGTTTACAGGCTTAATCGCTACGTATGGAAGAAAATCTCTCACCTCCTTTAATCTAGTATATGGATGATACATCGGCAGATAGATCTTACTCGGATAACGCGGCGTATTATAAACCTTAATCTTAGCGATCTTCTCTAGCCAGATCTAACATAACGACGACGAAATCACTCCCCCAAGGCTATCGTACTGCCTGCGCCCTCTCAATCTCAGACCTCCCTGTTTCACCTAACCTGGCCAAACTTCAAACGGAGCTGATGGCCAAAGCGATGAACAATCGCGATCAGAATCATACTCGCCGCTACAATGCAAGCTTGAGTCCCAAAGCTTACATCGTAACCAACCTTGGCTCCCCACGGCTGCTGGTAATATCCGACACTGAAACCACTCAAAGCTCGGAACACGTTGGTCAAACCACAAACTTCTGCAGGGGCAGACGGGTACGCATCCAAGAGGTATGAAGCCACGGCGACAGACGTGAGCATGATTCCAAAAGCATGCATGCCCCATCCTACGACGATTGCTGCAACTGAAAGATGCTTATGCAGGGCTTGTCCCATCAAGACGAGGCCGGCGATCATGGGGACAGCCGAGATGTAGATGGTCATGAGACGAGCCTCGGGCTCAAAGACACCGTTGTGCTTTCGGACATAGCGCCGAGTGAGGTGGTCGTTGAAGAAGTGACCAAAGATCTCGCCCAGGAAAACGCCGACGATTGGAGCAAAGTGTAGGTATCCCAGTTGAGTAAAGCTGTAGCCATAGCCTCCCATCTCCTGAGGAAGACCAAAGAGGATGGCGGTCGAAATATTAATACCGATCGACCATGCAAAGCACATGAAGCTGGGGACATTTGGTTAGCTCTTGGACTGTTACAGAAAGGCGCAGAACAAACTTACTAAGCAGCGAGGACGAGGAGAATGACAGGCTTCGACAGGATCAGGAGGACTCTCTTGTAGGCATCATAAACAGACTCGAAGTATCCAGAATGATACTTCATCTGCCATAGACCAGTAAGCCGAAGCAGTCGAGAGAAGAAACCTTGGCCTCGAGATGGTTGAGCAGATGAAGGCAAATCACGATTGTACCAAGTTTCATCCAGAAAAGTCAAGATAAGAAGCAAGCTCATGCCATTGACCCCGACTCCAAGCCAAAAGGCATCCTGCCATTGATGGGTCTCTCCAATGACAAAGTTGGCGAGCAGTGGACCCCAGTATGGAGATGTGATATACATGAGAGCCCAAAGGCCGATCTTTCGCGCTCGTTCGTGGAAGAAGAAGATATCTTTGATGAAGGCGATCGCGATCGTCTGACCAGATGTAAGGAAGAGGCCCTGAATGGCTCGGACGCCCATGAACATCTCAAAATCGGTGGAAACGGATGAAAGGATCGAGAAGATAAGACCGAGGAAGGTGGACCAAAACAAGGTCGGTGCTCGTCCAATGATGGAAGTCATGGGAACCCAGATCAAGCCACCAATGGCCCTGAGAACAAATTAGTAAAAGTCATAACGAGAAGCAAGGTAAAGACCGCTTACATCATAAGGACGTTGATGCTGTTATTATGATTGACCGAGTTTGGAGACTTGTGCCATTCGGCGGCCTGAAGAATGACCGGGGCGCTACCAGCAGCAGATGTAAAATCTGAAGTGAGAGCAGCCCAGGCCACAACCAGGAGAATGAGGTGCTTCTTTCGCGATGACCAGTTCAAGGGGTCATTGGGATCGTCTGTCGGCTGGGGCAAAAGCACGGTCTAGAGTGAATGCAACTGTCAGCAGTCATGGTAACCTGTGAATTGCAAGACTTACATGTCCATCTTCAGCAAGACGCAGAGAGGTCCCTTCGGCACGCTCAACCTGGAGAAGAACTCCAGCTTCAGCTCGAGCCTCTGGCGGGAACTTGTCAACCACGCGAGAGCCGTCTGACTTCTCGTCATTGGAAAGGTGCTCCACCTCTGGCTTCTCCATGATAGCTTTCAAGTTGGATAATGATGTTTGATCTCGAGCTGTGCAAGTCGAGTGCTGCAGATGTGGGAATGAAGCCGCCCATTTGTCTATACAAATACAATTTGCGTTGTCAAAGCCTGGATAGTCAAGAACAAACACAGCATGGCAGTTCCGAAATTGCGAAATCCGGGGCCCCGTGGGGTAGAGTGGCTTCCCGTCGTGTGACGGGCGTAGCTAAACGCTAGCTTGGCTAGCCTGTTCTGGGATGCCTCTTGATTTCCGGCGACCCGGTCAGTCCAGAACGCCAAGCTCAAATCTTATCTCCAGTGTGCGCCATCGCATCTCCAGTACCTGGCGAGGTCTCTGGCTCGATGGAACGCACATGAATGCAGTTCCTTCTACATTCTAGCTATATGTACTTTATATGCAGGACGCAATTGACATATGATTTGAGAAAATGTCATTGAGTCGCTGATCTGAGACTGATTCTTCACCGACATGTTGATCCAGGGTCTGTAGAAAAGGGAACCAGGACGCGGGGATCGCTTATCTTGCTTGAGGCGAAGCGGCTACGAGGCCAGACCACTGTGGACTGCCACACCAGCGTGGCATGTGAGCCAAGAGTACATGGGATCTATTCGGTACAACTGTGCACCAATGCCCAGACGGAATAGCAATTCCGGCTTGCGAATAGGTGCGTGTTGGAATATCCGAAGCCATGTAGAGTGTCTACGCGTTCATCGTTCGGAGTTCGATCAATCGTTAAGATTGATGCATGCCAAGAGAGTCAAATGATCTGATTGATGGAGGTTGACCGAGGACAGCGAAGGAGGAGCATGGGTTTAAGTAAGATGGTGACTTTGAAGTTGACAGATTATTTACATTGAGGTAGAGGGACAGTAGATCGCTGGGAGATGGCGATGCAAAAGATAGGTCCGAATAGAGTCATTCATAGATCAAAATATTTCGTCGTAAATGTGTAAGATAAATTGTAATTGTATGAGAGAACCTGATAGTTGATAGTAAAAGAACAAAGAAATTAACGCGATTAAATCACTGCGCACATCATACTAAAAAACCAGCAATTAGAGTTGTACGTATCCGTAGAACACAAACTCTCCCATTGCTGCCTTAAACCTTCACTGCCAGATCCTCATTCTCAATATGCCCGTTCTGGACCCCATTCTTCAACCCATCGTGGTTGACACCATTAGTCGCAACGCCATTCTGCTCCTTCTTAACCTTTGCCTTCATCAGAGTGACAGCATCATAAGGATGAGGAGCAAGGCTGGCCTGCGTAGCCTGACCCTTGTTCTCAGCTCGCAAGACATCCGCATACGGCAGAACACCCGCGTTCTCAAAGGCGCGGAAAGTCTCGACGTACGTGTCATAAGTATCGTCGTAGCGCTTCCAGCCAAACTTGCGCGCTTTGCCTACGCTGCCAATGGTCAACCAAGCCTTTCCAACGGCCCAGTCGAAGAAGTCCCAGGTGCCCCACTCGAAAGCTTCGAGTTGACCGCCGTACTTGGCTACTACTCTCTCCCATACTTGCTTCTTGTCCTTGTGCCACTCAGTCATGAGGAAATTGTTCGCCATGCGCTGTTGGTCTCCCTCGGCTGCCCACTCGGTGAACTCTGGGACCTGAAGACGATTAACCCCAAGAAGTCGAAGGTGAACGTAGATTAACTTACCTCAATGCCAAAGTATCGTCCAAGCCTGCCCCAGAGCTGCTTCCAGACAAAAACATCACCATTCTGGTGGTTGAACGCCTCATTCTTGGTGTGCTCGTCGGTGACGGCCCATACACTCAGATCAGCGATGCTGGGGGCGTACGAGGAATCGTCAACGCATTGGTTGAAGAAGAACTTGTTGCCCGGAAACACGGGAGGCACTCCCATCTCGCGGCAAACCAGCATGTAAATCGCCAATGTGAGCGCCATAGACATACCATTTCCTACAATTCGAGTTAATCAGGTGCTACGATGTTGTCGCTGGCAACGCAATCATACCTGCGGGCGTATAACCGATGATGGCATTTGGACGGATGATGTTCCAGTTCCAAGAGCGCTTGGCTGCTAGAGTCGAGAGGAAATCTTCTTGCGGGTAGTAAAAGTTCTCGCCTTTGTCCTCGTAGCGGCCCATCTCTTCATGCAGAGGGACTTCGGTAGGTCCAAGATGGGGGCCATAGTACTAGACAGACTCTTGTTAGTCCACGGTACGAGATGGTTCAGCGAGGTTTACTAACCTTTCCGCCGGTTTGGAGACAGACCCGCTGCAGTGTACTTGCTGCAACGATATCTATGGCGACTAGAAAGTTGTGGAATAAAGGAATGTTGCTATCGCGCAGCTTGGCAAAGTCGGCTGTGTGAACGTAGGACGTGAAGAATGCGTGAGTCACGTCGTGGCACAGAGGTGCCATACGCTGGATCAGCTCTTCCACGGGGTTCAAAAAGTCGAGAGCAATGAACCTGATTCGGTGGTCTTGCCATAGGCTTTGCTTGGGAACTCGTCGGGATGTGATAATGATCTTGGACCTGCGTAACCCTTATCAGTTATGCCTTTTTGACACTATGGGTTGAGCGACTCACCATTCGGACTCTGGCTTGCGGATGAGGTGCTCAATAATGGCATTGCCAGTAATACCGTTGGCACCCGTAACGAAAGCGACTTTTCCTCTAGCAGGAGCCATGATTGTGAATGTGTATGCGTATGATAGCCTGATAGGTAAGATGCTAGAAAGTTTAGATAGACAATCAATGTGTATGTTGGTAACTGTAAATCTACCTTTTATTTGTAGACATTTAATGGAACTGATCATGAGCTCTACGGAAGTAAAGGAATAATGCCCGGAGCTTGGCGCTCAGCTTAGCTGGCAGAGGCCGGAATTCTCGCCTAACCCGAGCTCCTACAATCGCCAACAGCAACTGATAGTGTACGGAGTACGGACGGAATGTAGGCGGAAGCTTAGCGCAATAGAGCCTAGAACAATACACACAATAGAACGAATTAAGCAAGAAGTGTGTCATCCACCATTTCCAGCCGGCTCAGGCACATCAAATTATTCAGCTTTCACTTCAATCATGGAGAAAAGAACCTGAGCTTGAGGGAAAGCACGACGTAATTTTGGACATAATGCATCTATTCTATAATACCTATACCATAAAAACAACAACAAATATGAGAAGGCACAATCTAGCTGCTACTTCAGACACCAGTGATTAGCAAGGTACAGCGTCACTTCGCTCAAACGCCCATCTTGGCATATAGCTTCTTGTGTTGCTCAAGAATCAGCAGAGTGAGGACAGTCTGAGGCCCAAGACGCAGAAAGCTAGGAACCCATCCTTTAAAAACCCACAATGGGCTTTCAGACAAGATTGATCGTTTTATGATCTGCCATACATGTTCCCCATTTGTTGAGCCCATAATGCGAGTCTTGACCACGTCTACAGGCGAGCAAACAGTTGTCGCTACAATACCAGCCAGGGAAGAAGCCACTAGATGAGTTATGGTATCATCATTCATCCCAAATGTCCTTATGCATGATGCCTTGGCCATGTCGTAAGAGGCCAGCTGTGAGGAGTTCATGAGAGATGCACGAAGGGCGTTGGCGCCTACTCCACGATAGAGAGAACCTAAACCCTCAGTCCTGGTGATATGTATTACACCGTCAAACACATGCTTGTAGTTCCTTTGCTCTGCTAGTGGTCTTGTCATGTCAGACTGCATCCGCACGTTGACAATGTCTGCTGGGTTACCAGCCACGCCGCCAATAAAACCCGACAGAGCTGATAAACAGATCAGCACCATGGGGGAGTGAGATGTCCTAGTATCATGACTTAGCCGTGCTTTGAGATCCTCATAGACTCCGAAGCGGATGGTTGAATAGGTGAATTGTCTGAGAATGGCTGCACTCAAGCCAGCATAAAGACCAGCATAACCCTCAGTGGTGATGACACGAGTGGTCATCCCTGCCATAGAAAGCCGAGCTGGCGTGATTGTGGACTGGAGACGGACTTTTACTGCATGTTTGTGAGTGACATGACGTTGAGTGAGTGCAAAGTCTAACCTAGGTCCAGTGGGTGGGTGAGCAAGGTAGCCATTGCACTGGCGCTGCCTCCAAACCAGAAGGGATACTTGTTGGACGAAGGCAACAAGGCATCCACCGAAGAAGGCTTCATCGCAATACTCATGTTGTTAGACTTGAGAAGATAATTATCTTCTTCTTGAGTAGAGAGGTTCGACATGTCTCTTGACGATGTTAACTGAGGAACGAGAAAAGAAAAACGGTTTACGATAACGTAAACAAAACCATCGAACAAAGTTACCAAAGCGTTGGAAGTCGAGACAATCTCGCCACTGGAAATGGAAAATGCTCTATATTTTGCTTGCTTGCCAACAACGTAACGAGACCCAAGATGAACTGCACTGCCAAACCCAGGAACGGCATTTTACAGCATACTGCCGAAAATCTGCCCAGTACGAACGAATGACGCTCTCTACGCAACGGCGGATTCGTTAGAAAATCGCTTCCAGAGTCGCTAAGATCAGAGTGCCCTTGTCTGAATATGGGCAGTCAAAGGTGGTAGTTGTGTGGCTGGCAGAAATTCCGAAATCCCGAAAAGCCGTGATCACGCGTCGAGATCCACAAGGTTTCGTAGTGGCATGACCTTCTTTCGGTGATATCTGGGCTTTAGAACTATCAGAAACAGTAACCCGAGGTTTAATTGATTAGAGAGTTTGACGGGTTATGGGATGTCAATCATTGACAGGAAAAGACTGAAGTCGCTCGCATAGGGCGTGGGCACCATGATATCTGCGCTTCCCAAAAGCCAGGGATGGCGAACCAATGGTAGACCTAGCCTTATACAAGTGCGTTAATAAGTGAACTAACCTGGGTTGTTGAGGATGGATTTGAATAAACCTAGCATGTTGAAGAAAAATATAATGTAATGTTACTGTGCAGCTAGGAACTACTTGCTTTCCATTCATATCATGAACATAGGAATGCCTGTTCTAACCGGCAGATGCAGGCCGAGGTGCCAAGGAGACCTACCCCGCTGAGTCACGAGAAAAGTATAGTGCCTGAGTGACAGACTTACAGAACTCCGTCCCGGCTTAGAGGCGGAAATTGAGGCCCCTGTTCCGGCTGACCATCAGTAAGAGTCGACTTTTAATGTCGTATATTAGGAGTTAATTATTGTCGGCTTCTACACACAAAATAACGGTTCAAGGATTGGATCAAGAACTATCCCGATTCAGCCAATACCAAGTTTTAGTTTACACCCATCCGACGGCTTGGCTTGAGCTGCATCACCATCATCAAGTTCCAACACACACATATTGAGCCAACCCACTTCTCAAGAAGCAGACTCTCGCAACCGCTACCATGGTTGCAACCACGAACTCCGAGTCAACGTAAGTTTGAATGGCATTACATTCGCTATCTTAAAAACTAAAGAATCACTAGTCGTTTTGACTCCCAGTCATCGCAATTGCCCGAGATTGAAACCGATGTCCTCATTGTAGGCGCTGGTGTATCTGGGCTATCATTTGCAGCCATGCTGGCAGCTCTGAGCGTCAAAGTGTTCGCTATCGCAAAGCACAGCGGTACCGCGCCAGCTCCACGTGCCCACGTCACCAACCAGCGGACCATGGAGATCTTCCGCGACATGGGCATCGAAGAGCTCATCCAAGCCGCAGGAACCTGCATGCCCGAGATTGGCAACATGGTCATGGCTACTAGTCTCACAGGCATGGAGATTGGACGCTACAGCTGCTACGGCGGAGGTGACCATCAGCTGACCGACTTCGCAAAGGCTAGTCCTAGCAAGATGTGGAACACGCCCCAGAACAACATGGAGCCTATCTTGCTGCACAGGGCACGAGAGAAAGGAGCTGACATACGCTTCTACCACGAGCTGGTGGACATTCAGCAGTCTGATGAGGGTGTTGTCGCTAGAGTACGTGAAAGGACCAGCCAAGGAGAGTACATCGTCCGTGCCCGTTACGCTGTTGGTGCAGATGGAGCAAGGTCGACGGTGGCCCAGAAAATCGGATTCGGTTTCGTTGGGGAGCCAGGACTTATGCACATGATAAGTTCTTGGGTTGAGATGGATTTGACCCAGTACGTCGCTCATCGCCCGGCTTGTATCTATTTGATGTTACAACCCGGTGATGCGTACTGGGTTGGCTCGGGAACCTGTATCCTCAAGAAGCCCTGGGACGAGTGGATTGTCAATCGGCAGTACAACGCCGCAGATGGGGAGCCCGACATGAGTGACGAAGCCATTATTGCTCATGCCCGTAGCGCGTTGGCCATTCCAGACTCTCTTCCGATCCGGGTGAAGCACAAGGGCAAGTGGCAAGTCAACCATGTTGTCGCGACTGAGTATCGTCACGGCCGGATTTTCCTTTCTGGAGACGCGGCTCACCGTCACCCTCCCGCCAGTGGACTCGGAAGCAACACCTGTGTACAAGATGCTTACAACCTCTCGTGGAAGCTAGCCGCTGTCATCAAGGGACAGGCTGGTGAGGGTATTCTCGAGAGTTACAACCAGGAGAGACAGCCCATCGGCAAACAGATTGTCGATCACGCAATTGAGACGCTTCACGACATGGCACTTCTTCCCGGTGCCCTCGGGTTTGAGCGAGGTCAGTCCCGAGACGATGGTTTTGCGAAGCTCGAGGAGCTCTTCTCCGACGCTGATGGCGCATCTGAGCGCCGCGAGTTTCTGAGGAAGACGATAGACCGTGGTAATCGTCGTTCCAACCCTCTTGGAGTACATCTGGGCCATCGTTATGCCAAGTCGGTTGCTGTGGCTGACGACGGAACGCCGTTCCCTGAATATGAGCGTGACCCTGTTCTGTTCTATCACCCCACGACTCACCCGGGCGCCTACATCCCGCATGCTTGGATAGAGCTTAATAAAAAGCGCATCTCGGTCCTGGATATCTTTGAGCATGGCAGTTTTGGTCTTGTAGTTGGTATTGGCGGAAAGCCTTGGGAGGAGGCTGCTGCTGTTGTCAGCAAAGAGCTTGGTGTCAAGTTACCTGTGTACTTTGTTGGCCAGGGTTGTACTTATGCCGATGTCTTGGCTGAATGGACGGATCGACGTGAGATTAGTGACCGTGGGGCTCTTTTGGTTCGACCTGATCGTCATATTGGCTGGCGATCGTTTGATCGGCCCCAAGACCCTACCGCGACTTTGCGATCAGCTTTGCAGCAGGTTCTTTCACGCAAGTAGGTACTAGGTAGTCAGCTCGAACTAGCAAAATATAACGAATTATAATTTGTACAGAAGGTTGTCTCGAGATGTGAAATTGGCGGTACGATGGAAAAATCCCATTGAATCTGATATTTGATGCTTCTTCTATTCACCTGTCTCATACTCATGGTCTTCCTATCGACTGTTCAATGACACTTTCCTCTGAGGTCCAAGGGTTCATATTAGTTGACATCGGGCAACGTCCCAAGATTGCTAGACGCATCAAAAATTAACGGGCTACCAGAGTGATTCCCAAGAAAAAAGGTTAAAGTAATCCAGATTGTCTACTCGTCATGACATCCGAGCATTGTCATCCAATTCCCAACGCCAGTGCACAACAAGCCCTAGGTCCTTTCGACGTCAGCCAATCTGAGTCATGTCAGGGCTCGTGCATCCCAAATCCATCTTCTTCCCACCAGAGCCTGACCTATGAGAGACCCTAACAAACGTAGAGTGGCTGAACATAATGAAGTATTACGGCATCATCCGTTGGGCCATTTCCACCTCTCATGCAAGCCACGGATATTCCGTCCGAAATACCGAGTTCGTGCGAGAACGCCAACATGGCTAATACTTATCGAGCTAGTGTGGAGTCCAGTCCGGAGATTATGGAATCGTGATCTCGCCCAGTGATCTCGCGCTGGTCTAGATTTCCCCTCACCATTTTGTAAAACGCGGGGCCCCAGGCTTTCACCCGTCAAGTACAGTAAAAGCTGACTCGGCATAATCGGCGTAATGGGGATTTTGCCGACAAAGTACATCATGCAGATCGGAATTGCTTGCGAGTTCGGCGCCGTAGACTCCAGGTAGAGTATGTCCATAATTCTTCATTACGGAGACTTGAGGGCATCATATGGCGCAATAACATAGCAATTCTGCGAAACGATTGTGGTCAACAGACTAAACCTTGCTCTACATCGCCAGCTAAGCTCCCAACTTAGGCTCACGTTCTCTCTTTTGAAGAAACTCCGAACCAACACCAACAGCCATCATGTCCTTTCTTTTGCGCCGACGTATTCAACCTCGGAACACTCTTAGAGTAATCGCAGCAGGCCGCAGAAACCTTTCGTTGGCCCGCTTTGATTGGGATGATCCTGTCTCTTCAAAGAGTTTGCTCACCTCGGAAGAACTTGACATTCAGGAGACTGCTCGAGCATACTGCCAAGAGCGCCTGCTACCTCGAGTCCTCGGCAAGTAACTCGCCCCGTAGTTTGAGCTCTACGCTGACCTTCAAGAAAAGAGGCTTACCGAAGTGAGCATTATGACCGGAACATTCTCAGGGAAATGGGAGAGCTGGGCCTTCTTGGAGCCACAATATCGACCCATGGATGCGCGGGTGTTAGCAGTGTGGCCTCAGGTCTCATCACAAAAGAGGTCGAACGCGTCGACTCAGGCTACAGGTCCGGTATGTCTGTCCAAAGCTCTCTTGTTATGGGTCCCATAGCCGATCACGGCACAGAAGAGCAGAAGGACCGCTTTCTTCCCTCATTAGGTCAAGGAACCATGATTGGATGCTTTGGCTTGACAGAGCCAAATCACGGCTCTGATCCTGGGTCAATGGAGACTATCGCACGTCCACATCCAACAAAGAAAGGATACTATTCAATTTCTGGAGCAAAGACTTGGATCACCAACTCTCCCATAGCTGATCTGCTTCTGGTCTGGGCCAAACTAGAGACCACGGGCAAGATTCGTGGGTTCCTCATAGAACGAGACCAGTGCCCTCCTGGAACTCTTGAAACGCCTGCTATCAAGGAGAAGAATGGCCTGAGAGCATCCATTACCGGTATGATCCAGCTCGATTCCTGCCCAGTACCCGAAGAAAACATGCTCCAGGTGGAAGGTCTCAAGGGACCTTTCAGCTGCCTCAACTCAGCCCGATATGGTATCGCCTTTGGTACAATGGGAGCTCTGGAGGACTGTATTGACCGCGCAAGGACATATGCACTGGACAGAAAGCAGTTCGGTAACCCACTTGCAAAGTATCAGCTTGTGCAGAAGAAACTCAGTGACGCGCTCACTGATGCAGCTTACGGTACTCTGGCAGCTATTCAAGTGGGAAGACTTAAGGATGAGGGCACGTTGGCGCCTGAGATGATTTCGATTATCAAGAGACAGAATTGCGATCGGGCGTTAGCTGGTGCCCGCACGTAAGTTAAGCTCCGTCACTTTCACGATAATTTACTGACCGTTACTAGTCTGCAAGAGATCTTTGGAGGGTGAGGTTCTTGTCCCTTTTCATCTTGACTGACACTGACGAGAGTCGCTAGAAATGCCGCCTCAGACGAATATCATATAGGTCAGTGATTTATGACATCCCTTCTCCGCATTTGCTGGTGCTGACTCTAGAAGGACGTCATGTCGCAAATCTCTTCGTGGTGCAAACATACGAAGGACAGTCCGATATTCACTGTAAGTCTCATTGCCGAGATTCGGTCACGGTTCTAACATGGAAGCAGCGATGATTGTTGGAAAGGGTATCACAGGGTTGCAAGCCTTCTATTAGAGTGCCTAAGTAATGGCTTAAAAAGCGGATACTGGACTGAGTGCCTTTCCGTGGCTTAACATAGCGGTATGGCTTTGTGAAAGTCAGAGTAGCTAGGCCCAACCAATAAAGAGGACAAATGCAGATTTTGCAGCATTTACCCAAAAGTTGTTACCTAATATTGGTCAGTAAAAGTAATCCAAGATATATAATATGCGCTGTCATCATTGACATACAGCCTAAGACCTACAAGCCCAAGCGTTAAACGGAGCTGTAAAAGTGGTAAACTTAACAGAGGTTTATATTACAAGTGTTAGTTGGTAGTGAACACCGCAGATCAAGACCCCGGACCTTACATATCTATTTCTCTTTCTTGTCTACTATCTCACTGGAAAACCATTTGGTTGCATATAGTTCCAATCCCCCTGATAGAAACTTGTACAACATCTCCATCCTTTAACCATTTGGGCGGTTTCATTCCCAAAGCCACTCCACCCGGTGTGCCAGTCAGGATCACCGAGCCCTTTTCGAGTGTTGTACCCTGACTGACAAACGCAATGATCCTCTTCACGTCGAACACTAGATCACTGGTGTTCGCCTCCTGGCGGACCTCCCCATTCACCTTGGTCTGTAGGATGAGATCCCCAGCTGCGCCAAGGACCTATGTTCCAGTTAACTCAGCTCTGAAACTTCGCCGTTGATACAACTCACGCTCGGGGACACAAGCACCGGACCCAGAGGAGCAAAGGAATCGAATCCTTTAGAGAAACACCACTGTGGGACCTCCCCTGCGAACTTGGGGTCCCTCTGCCATGTACGGGCTGAGACATCATTTGCAACGGTATACCCTGCCACGTAGCTCAATGCATCCTCAGTCGAGATATCCTTCCCTTCCTTCCCTATTACGATAGCCTGAGGCAAGTCAGTATTATTCAACTTTGGATCATGGTTGTTTGACATACCAGTTCACCTTCGTAGTCAAGTTGGTCTTTCTGTGCGATCTTGGGGATAGGGATATCATCGTTCCAACCTGTGATTGAGCGGGATGGCTTGATGAATATTGTGGGATGCGGAGGTGGAGCCCTCCCTGTTTCCTTGACTACTATGGTCAGTATATAGTGCGAGAGTACTGACAAAGAATGACAGTGATGAAATACTATGCTTTGCGTAATTCAAACCAACACAGCGTAGAATAGGCACGTCTCGAGGGGTCAAGGGCCCCAAAAGCGATTTGACGTGGACTATCTTGCCTGTCGGCTTTGCGTCAAATATGTCGTTTCCAGCTAACTTTTCGGCAGTGAGACTTCCAGCTTCCAAAAGACTCGCAAAGTCTTGGGCAGGGTTTGCAACTGCATCACCAAGACAGACCTGATCTTCATCATCGAGGAATCGGATTAAGCGGCTCCAGCTCATGTCGGGCTACAGGATGGTCAGGGTTGTGGGATAGGGATAGTAGTGGTGGAGCACTGGTCTAGAAAGATGAGTTAAAGGTCACAGAATCAACATACTGGAGCAACACGTATTTAAATGTACTGCATTTCTCGAGGTGGGGCTTCCAATATGTTACACCAGTCACACCATATAGGCCAGATCTGTTCTAAGGCTTGCCTCGGGCATTTTGGCCGAGCCGGAATTGTAGTCTATCAGGTCAGTGTCAATGTACCGAAATACCGTATGTCCGATTTTACTGAACCCATCTTGGCTGCTGTTGCTTACGATAGCCCGAAGCAGTCCGGCCTATTATGAAGACCTTGCTGGATATTTCGGCTAGGACTATACACTGCCTGTGTACAACATGACAATTCATCACGGCTTCTGAAGTCACTTCTGGATAGCCAATAGTTATGCTAATCATTCTGCTAATTCCTTAAAGCGTTCTGAATCTCCAGAGAAAGCGCGTCTACGTCAAAATCTCCAATAGGTCGATCAGCCCACTCCGCAATCTTCTTCACCACATTCAACACAGTCTTTACACATTCCACTGAGTTTCCTATCCCTAGCGTAGCTTTGATATGACTCTTCGTCTGTCGGGTAGCCCCCAATGCCGCAATGGAAGCTGCAATAATGAGATGAGACTCATTTGGTTGAAATACCTCCTCGTTCGCCTTTGAGATGAGGTAGCCCCATGTAACAACCGTCGAGCAAGTAACTGAAGAAGGAAAGTCAGCAAAATAAAATAAGCAGAGTATGTACTGGGAATGACATACATAGATCAGTAAAGTATTTATCCATCAGACTAAAAATGCCTGAATTTCCGACGCCACTGTAGATGCGAGATTTGAGCTCAGTACCCTTCTTGACGTCTTCTTCATCGATTGTTGTCTTTCTGAGCACTCTGGTAGAGGCATAAGCGGGACCTTTGCGCTCCACAACGCCAATCATTCCATAGCATGCAGGAATACAGGTTGGCATTCCGATGTATGGGAAAACAATGGTGATGGCCTCTCGGGTGGAAAGAAAGAGCTTCTCAGAAGCTTCTGTTGTTGAATCGAATGTAATATCATCGAAGAAGCGGCCTACGACATCTGCACGACTGACAGCGCAACACACGGCAGCCTGTCAAACGTGTTAACAGTCTTGAAGCAAGACATTGACCAGTTCAATTCTTTGACGTACTATGATTGCATGACTGGAAGATTTTAACTCGGGATGAGACGAAGCCAGCTTTGAATTGAGTTCGAGGAACAGGCCCCTGTCATATTTCCGTGCCTGGGGCTTAATGTTGGTAGAGACGTATTTTGCGTCCCAGTCGGACATGAACAAGTCGTCGTTCCAGTCAAGCATCCTGATTATCTTTGACAAAGAGCTGTGAAACAGCGATGTATGGCCAATAAATCACTAAAGACTTTGGAGATCCAGACCACGGTAGTATCAAGTGGTAGCATTTATATGATAACCTATTTATTCTGGAAGGGTCGTGGGGCAGACGTCAGACACAGAGGGGAAGTGTCGCGCCTTTACTCAGAAGTGCCTATTCGTCCTTCCATTTTCGCCCCTTACAACACTCTCGCATACAACTGTTTGAACAACCTCACACGCTGTTTGAACATGATGGGATTAGCGTGGAGACAGCCGGGACTTTCGGAAAGCAGACGGAAATTCCAGACCATGGGGCCGCCAGCAACATTATGAGTGCGGGGAAGCTTTAGTCCGAGTCGAGCTAGCATGAGCTCCAATGTCCAGCATCCGCTGGCTTCTGTAGCTGTCAGTATCTCAGTCAATGCGCTTCACCATAATTATATGCAAAACTGGAACTGTTGATAACGTCTCTTTGACTAGCTACATGACGCGCTCCAAAGGCAGACCGAGGAAATGCGCGTATTGCGAACGTGTATTCACCAAGGAGGAACACTTGAAGCGGCACGAGAGAAGTCGTAAGTTACTTCACGACATCATCAAGGTTCATTACTAACAACCAAAGATACTGGCGAGAAGCCTTTCAAGTGCTGTAAATGCGGTAGGAGCTATGCTAGAAGGTAAGTCGCATACAACTACATGTATACCATATATGGATACTGGCTAATATTCAGGTGCAGTGACGTTCTATTTCGGCACTCTCAAACGCACTTCTCGACAAACAACAATGGCCAAAGCGAATATCGACCTGAACGCCCGTCCTCAGATATTATTCAGGTTGACCATGATAACGAATTATGCCGCGATGATGGAAACGTTTCGATCTCACTTCCAGAGCGACAAATAAGTGAATCTCTAGACCCAGCCGTTCCTGGGGCCCAAGACCGCAACTCCACGACGTCACCTCAGCATGCGCCGTCCGCCCCAAGCTCCGCGATGCCATCGCCACCTACCGAAACTTATGTACAGGATATGCTAAGGCCAAAAAAACGGCAAAGGTTTTCACCACAGTCTCAGCATATTGTTGATAATAGCCAAGGAAGTTCAATGGCTCGGTCCACTTGCACAATCTCCGACATGTTTCTATCGCAGTTTGATATCGACCAAGTCTCGACCTTTACTGGGATAGAATTCGACCAACAAGGTATCCTTGGAAGTTTCGACAACTTCAGCATGTTTTCGTTCGGGACGGGACAGACGCCAGGTTTCGGTGACATGCAGTTTAGCAACGATGCAATAGATGGCCCCGACTTGGATAGTTCTGGCTTCCCATATTTGATACCAACCATAGATACTACCTCATGTAGCCAGAAGTCAAGAAGTGGTGGGCTCATGACCATATCGGCCAGTCAGATGCAGAAAGTACAACGAATCTGGTCGAGACAGCGACCCAAGGTGCTTACACCAATCAACAGTCGTTTATGGGATGCGGTGATTAAGCACAATGCTGATAACATTTTCACGACACCACAGCAGAGTGTCAATCTCGAAGACTACCAATCATTGGGACGCAATTTGGATCAAGCATGTAGGAATCGTCTGATTCGGTACTGCAACGATCTTGACGGATCATGTGGCTCGTCAGCAACTACTGATAAGACTGCCATGCTTTCTGTGGATCTACTCGACTCAAGCTTGGACTTCTACTTCCAATTTTTCCATCCGGTCTTGCCGTTCATACACAAGAGCACTTTTAATGCTAGAGACGCGCCGAGCTCGCTGTTGCTCGCAATGTGTTTAGTTGGCGTGTCCTACTTGGATCGAGCACACACCAAGGGTTTTCTCACTAGATACCTCAGGGCATGTTATCAGCCGAGCAGATTATGAGAGCAATTGCTAATGCTATTGCAGAAGTTGTTGCCCGCCTGTCTCCACGATTTGACGTCTCAGACACTGCTCAAGAGTGCACCACCCGACATCCTCACTACCCTTGCCACTGCACTCATTATAGCCTACTTAGCCTTGGGCTTTCGCGTACATAGTTACCCTTGTCGGATCTCTAGAGTAGTCGCTGAGTATTCACAGGATGAGATTGATATACATCAATCATACACAGTCTGTACTCAGATGCTTCGTGTAGGTGTACCATGGCCGATATCATTTACAGTCAATATGCCTAACTGAGCGTTCTTGATAGACGGCTGATGGACAAGGCCTCTTCATGGCTGGATATGATGACGATCCGATTCTCAAAGTGAGACAAGGAGCACAAAGCCCGGACAACCTCTGGAAGGCATGGGCACGAGTTGAGTCTGTCAAACGGTAAGTCTACCTGCCAGGTTAGACCAACTTCTCTAACTCTGTACAGCCTTATATGCTGCCTTCTCTACTTGGACATGGCCTATGCCCGGCTGATGAGCACGTCCGGGGTTATTGCAATAGACAAGGTCGAAGTATACTTGCCGTGTGACGATGCTCTCTTTGAAAATGCAACAACAGCCACGGCGTTCTTGCGCTCGGTGCAACAAGGTGCACGTATCGCAATGCCTCGAATGAATGTCCGGAGTGTTCACGAATTGTCACCGTCTAAGCTCAACCAGAATTCTACTCAGATCCTCCTCCGTTCTCTCTACCTCAGACTGATAGCAGCCAAAGCCAGACTTTCAGAAAAACATGGACGGAACGAACATTCCCAGTCTATCAGCCTTGCTGAGAGCTTTTCAACGGATGAGGATTACAAGACCATCATTGCTGACGTTGTATTGCTGCCCAAGGCGCATGCCAGCTTCTTGGGTGAACGACATCAGAACAATGCGTTAGGCTGGCATTATCTGTGCATTCTATTGACAACGGACGTTGACCTTTTGGAAACTGCGTGCGGTCGTGATGGGTTGGAAGCTGCTGAGGACTCCCTAGTTCATGTTTTCAGATGGTCGCAGTCAAGTAGTGCTCGCAGGGCCCTACTCCATGCGGCTCAAGTATTCAGCATCTTGGATTCGTGCCTCGTCCGCGAATCGTATCTCACTCGACCGGATTTGGTACTATTTGTCTCAGCGCTTGTGATAAGTCAATACTTCCTTGTTACTAGCTACACAGGTAATGGCTCTGGTGGACCTGTTTTTGAGCTGCTCCGTGACGTAGATTGGACTACAGTCGGAGACGAAGGGTTTGGGCGAGCTACTGGGTATTTACCGCTGGGAAGGCTTGGACGTGAAACAGTCAATTCGAACCCCGCCATTGGATTTATAAACAAAGGTGGCTCTGTTTCGTTTGCTGGAGAAGTGCAAGGGCTTGGCGGCGCGGCTGCTAAGAAGATTGCCAGGAAGTTTGCTCATCTTATGGATGGCTTTGGCAAATGGGATGGATGTAGCTATTCTCAACTCTTGAGGGTAATGTGTGGGTTCACGCATGAATCCGACTGAGAAAGAAATGCGAATATCAACTTGGTAATCGCGTTGGGTTTTCCTCATTAACCATGCCGCACTCAAGAAGTTCTTGCATACATCGCATCAACACTGCTCCCAGTGCCATGCTATAAAGATCCGATTTCAGCCAACACTGTGTTTCTACTAAACCCCATGAACAAATAACCGGTCCTCTATTGGGAGGAACGTTTTATCATGCAGAGTTCCACCGGTCGGCTTGCCAAAGACTAATTGACCTTTCAGTGACCATTGTGGTGAGATATCCCATTCTCCGATGAGCCTTTGATCTATGATGGGATTGATGTGCTGCAAGTTACACCCGAGCCCCTCGAGAGACAGGGCAGTCCACAGGTTAAGAGTCTGCATGGCATTGTTGTGCTCAGAGAATTGAAAAAGATGTGTTGCGAATCGAGGGAACTTGGCTTGATACTCTCGAACAACGTCCAAGTCTTCAAACAGTAGTATCTGTCATCACTTCCATCAGAACACGCTTATAATATGTCAACATGGGCCAATGGCTTACCGTTCCGTAGCCCGCCCGGCGCTGTAGTAATTTCTTCTCATATTCAGCGAAGATGGCTGATTTCATAGTTGCTTTAAAGCACTCTGTTGCCATATCCCAGAACTTAACATGCTCCTCTTTGAGAAGAACTACCAGACGAGTAGATTGGCAATTGAAGGAGCTGGGCGTGTGCTTGACCACTTCCTGGGCTATTTCGATGATACGGGCATCGCTGATTGGGGACTTGGCCTCAATCGAGTAACAAGTTCGACGGCTTTTGATCTCGGCTAGATATTTGTCTGCCATTTTGTAAAGCAGAAGGCTGTGGGAGACGATTGGTGGTATCTGTAAAGGAGAGACAGGTAGGAAGCAATATCAGGGAGGCTTTCAACAGCAAGCAATATGGGCATTTGCCTATTGTATACAAATTGGTTGGCAAACTGTCCTGGAAGTTCGGGGCCCCACAAGTGGGGAGGCCCCATGTCCCCCACGTTGCGAGGTCAAGGCCCCATCATATACAAGCAAGTCATGTCTATTGTTCTTTCGTATTTATCTGCAGGCAGTGACTTGAATTAGGCAGCTTCCTCCATCTGTCTTGTCCCCATCATAGCTCTACATCATCCGTCTTATTTCGAGCTCCCGCTCTCGTTAAACCTTCTTAAACCTCAACCCTCTGAAGATGTCGAAAACTGTCTTAGTCCTCGGTGCCACTGGAACTCAAGGTGAGCATAAGCAGCACCCTTGCTTATAACTATGAGTAGGACTGACTGACTGACTGTCAAGGTGGATCAATCGCCAACCTATTGGTTCAATATCCGGACCAATATCTGGTACGATGCCTTACTCGAAATCCCAGCTCGGACAAGGCCAAAGCCCTGGCTGCAAAGGGAGCGCAGCTGGTGAAGGCTGATTTGACTATCCCTTCCACCCTGCCAGAGGCATTCAAGGGGGTCTGGGGTGTCTTTGCTGTCACTGACTTTTACGATACGGTTAGTCTCACCTAGCCTCGCACCATGTTCTATACTTACTCTATAGGCTGTTCTTGATGATCCTATGAGCGAGGAGAAACAAGGTCAGCATATCGTCGAAGCATCAGTGGCAGCTGGTGTTGAATGTTTCCTTTGGAGCACCTTGCCAAGTTCTCGAGAGATATCCGGGGGCAAGTTTGTCACAAGGCTGTATGAAGGTATTTCATGTCAATACATCCTTTAAGGGCATCGAGCTAACCTGGCTGCTACAGGAAAACAGTCTGTTGATGCAGTCATTCGCGATGCAGGCCTCAAGGGTGCCTTCATCCGTACTGGTAACTTCTATGAGAACATGATCTCGCGAAAGTATGCTGCATATGACAAGGAGAATGATGTTATTACCATGACGCGGCCCATTATCGGACCCGATGCTGAGCGTGAGTTCCCTCTTATCATTTTTGCCAGATATCTATGCTAACCAACGGCAATGCAGTTACTTCACTTTACGTCGAGAAAGACCTTGGGGCAGTTGCCAAAGCGCTGTTCGATCAGTGGGATGAGAAGAAGGATACTCTTGATGGTAAATACTTTCTCGCAAGTGGAGCTCGGGAGACAATGGGCGATATCAACGCAATTCTTGAGAAAGGTCTGTCTCCAATTATTGAGAATCACCAATATGTGACTGATCTGATTTATACAGTGTCTGGTAAAAAGGTCATTTACAAGGTTAAGCCAACCTGTGGTATTCCGGATCGCGATATCATGCTGCAACTTTACAACAATGTGGGGATGTACCCTGGGGTTGACATTCCGACTCCAGAGGTGGCAATGTTGGGTGTGAAGCTTCACAGTGCTGAGGACTTTATTCGGGAGAGGTTGCTCCCGCACCTTAAACTTGACGCATGTTACTAGAGTAGCGTAGATCCGATGATAGTCCTCGCAGCGATTATCTCATCACAATTCAGGTAACCTCCGGACCTCTTATTTTAATCTAACTTGCTTGCCTGGGGGGACCATGCTTTGCTGGGAAATTCTAAAGACGGATTGCTTAGATTGTGAGAAACCATAACAGGACATCCTACCCTGAATCGCCTCTTGTCTCGAAGGGATCCGCTTTGCTGCCCATCCACCCTTGAGTTGTATGGTAACCAATTAAAATATGGAGCGAGGGCATTATGGGGCGACAAGGGTGTCACAGAGTCTAGACTTTCAAGGCCAACTTGAGTTAGCTGCTGAATGAAATCACTAGCCGAACTCTATGACACTGACCACATCCGTGACAAGCCAATCAGCTCGAGTCGCGGCCCCATTTCACGGAAATTCCAGCCAAATTCCGTCCAAAGAGTGGCAAGCCATCCAATCCGAGAGCTCCGCATGATCAGCCAGCAGCAATGCTCCCCAGACACTACCGTGAGCGACCAAGCCTCAGTTTCGCGGGGAACCCTGACAATCATCTCGGCATCGGTGACTAGATCAAATCCGAACCGGGGGAGCGTCTGGGGAAGGGGGGCAGTCCCCGCAGTAGCCCATGCCCCGTGCATCAACCTGTCCAGCACTTGCTTCACCAAGCTTCGTACTACAGAGTCCCTAATTGACTGAGCTCATGGCATCTGGCAGACTTCCATCTGCATTCAAAGCTCAGTCAGCGTAATGTCTCCATCTGATATACAGGATTGGGATCCAGCTAGCGAGGCTGTAGACCAGACCGCCTCCGCAACTGACGATGCCCGTGAGACCACGCCAACAGACGACCAAGATGGGACCAAGAAAAGGAACGTCGCCAAAGACACGGCAGCGGCCAATGCTGAATCCACGGAACGGCCTGCGAAGAAGATGAAGAGAGGGAAATACATATCTAGAGCTTGGTAAGGAAGATCCACGACTTGCATAAACATTAAAACGGTGTCACTGACCGTCACAGTACTTCCTGCCAGCAGCGCAAAATCAAGGTTGGTGTTCATGTCCTACCGCCCTCCTTCAATGTCGATATGGACGGCGATTCTGACGAGCCCTATCTTACCAGTGCGAAGGAGGAGATCCATGCCGACAATGCCTCGCGAAACAACTACCTTGCCAGCCCTCTGCTCCAAGGGGCGCACAGCAGGCCCGTCAAGACTTGAGGTCAGGTCCCGCTGGAGGTCAAGACCAGGTTTATTACCCCTCAAACGATAGGTAAATCTGTTTTGCGCTTGCCTTGGTGACATGAGCTTATTAACCATGGCAGCATCAACCGCGAAGTCTTAGTTCGCCTAGAAGCTGTAGAACGCCATCTACGTCTGATGAGACCGCCCACTCCCGATCTGTCCAGACCAACGCATGACTATGCATCAGTCGAAGACCAACTCAAGCCTTCGGCAGCCAAACTACAAAGCGCCCTAGAGACAGAGGGACAAACGTTTGCAGGAGAGATGACTATAACTCCGACACTTGAAGACGAGAACGAACCCATAGATTATCAAAGCTCCGCATCGTCGGCCATGCGAATAGACAACACTTCCCCAGCATCGTCTCTCCTCCCACCAGCAACAGCAACATCACCAAATGATACGACAGGCAGAAAAGGCGGATGGTTCGAGCGGATATTGACACGGCATGGCGTCATGACCGACGAGAAACAATGCAGGTATCACCTACAAGTATTCATGGACGAGGTGCACCCGATGTATCCGGTCGTTCACCCCCCGGCAGTTTGGGACATCTTCAACGAAATGTGGCAGCACCCAGCGATCAGCTCCTCCGTAGAGTCAGCACAAAGTGAGCAACTCCGGGTTTCCGTTGCTTTGGTGTGCTTTTGCCTAGCTCTTGGACGATGTAGCATGTCAGCGAGAATGAGCGACCGCAGCGGTGTTGAATCTTCTGGCTGGAGTCTGTATAGTGTGGGCATGAGTCTGCTTGGTGATCTGCTCGAGACCAGTAATACGGCTATAAAGTCACTGCTTATGTTGCAAGTGTTAATAGTGAGAGTGAGTCAAGACACCAGCCCTTACGCGCTACATGATTCCTGACCCTGCATAGATAATTTACATGTTCCGACTAGACGCGAATCAGAAAGCAGCCAGAGTACACGCCTTGAGTGTGTCGGTTGCACAAACAATAGGCTTGCATCGCCAGAGCACCATCGAGGGCATGCCGGCTTATTACAACCAGCTGTACTCACGTGCTTGGTGGTCCTTATATCTGCTGGATCGACGACTGGCTCTGGAGTCCGGGAAACCATATCTCATTCAAGACAGCAACGTTGATACGGCGTTACCATTGGATCTGAGCGATGAGTGGATGACACGATTTGCGTCCCGAAAAGAGAAAATAGCAGACCTTCAGCACGAGATAGTTGTTGAGGCTGCGAGGGACTCATCCCCTTCATGTATCCCTTATGTTATTGCCATGGTGCGTTATTGCCGTATAGCTGGCAAGACGTGGGAAGTTTTATACGGTGTCAAGTCATCTACTGCTTCCATGCCAGCCATGATCCAATATGTTGATACCGCTATCGGAAAACTACTCAACACAATTCCGATATGCTTGAAATATGACCTCGATGCTCCCTATGAGGCTCAGTTTAACACGAGAACTCGGTGGCAAGTAAAACAAACATTTCTCTTCAACAATGTGAGTCCAGATCGATAGTGAACCTGTCAGTAGTTCTGGGGACTGACAATACCTAGTGCTGCACATATCTGCGTCTTTTAATAAGAAGACCACTATTGCCGAGTTCCAGCACTATTTACCATACAGAAGAGGATGATCTTGAGTCTTCAATCGAGTGTGCTAGTCTCGCTGCCCGGATTCTTACAACTCATCAAAACATACAAGACGATGGACTCAAGTATAGCTTCGCACTTAGTCACTACGTCACTAGCTGTGCACTTGTCATGGTCGGTTTGGTGTCGAGGGAACCAGGTTCCAAGAAAAGGTATGGGGCTCTGATACTTGCAGCCACTCAGTGTCTGAATGAGTACTGCCAGAGGATTTGGGTCTCTGGAAAGATGATGCGTTGCGTTTCTAGGCTTAGTCGGCTGGTTGGACGTGTTCTCGCCTCAGACTCACAAGGAGGGCTGGACCACCAGAGCACATTGAAAATGAGGCGAAAGTCGACATCAGATCGCCTGACGCAGCACCTGACGCCCCCTCAAACTGAAGATCAAGACCTTGTACAATGCAGAACTGGGACGTCCAGCATGTACAGGAATCAGCTCAAAGACATGAGAACCGACACTGATCAGAGAGTGCAAAGGGACCAAGAAGTAGACTGTTATTCATTCAATACCGACTCTCTGGGCACAATGCCTGAGAGCTCATCGGCAGGTTTTAATAAGCTGCCCACATCCTGGATGGCTGATTCTAGCCTTGATCGTCGAAATAGTTGGATCATGTCAGACTTCAATTTTGAGACTCTTGGGGAGCGCTTTGGTCCCAACGATGCCGAGCTGGCAACATTTGTGGAGAATGATAGCCTTGATTTTACCCGAGGTATGGGAATGCCCTTGAATACTGAGCGAGGGGGTACCGAGGCACGACTAGGCACTCTGGGTATCAATGGCGTGTTTGATCTTGATATGGATATGTTTCCTACTATGATGAACCTGTATGGAAGTTAGTATAATTCTATTTACAGCTGATAGTGACGCACTGCAAGCAAGAGCCGTGCGGATAACACCATGATAAGCAATGCGGTTCTTCCTTTGCTTTATAACGCTACCGTCAACAAATATCAATCCCATATCTAGTATCTATGGGATATTCATAAGCTTAAGCAGTTACGACAAGTTTCATCAATCAATAAGCATGCTTATGGTTTACCTAGTTCTTAACATACATCTGGTAATACCAGGCCTTCCCTGTATTCCCTCTTCAATCACCCAGTTTATCTGGAGGTTTCAGGCCCTGAAATTACAGATTCAAAGAATTGTCTTTCTTTCTTTCAGTCTCACATTAAACCCCATTTGCCGTACAAACCACGCATTGTGGAGCTTCCATGGAGTGTCTGGATTAACCAGCTCAAGCTGAAAAGGAAAAAGAAGATTAGCTTTCATAGCCTAAGATACAACAGCAGACACTCGGAAATCCTACCTCAAAGATCCGTAGAATAGTTGGGACAAGTTTGTAGAGCTCCAATAAGGATATGTTCTTGCCGACACATGTCCTAGCCCCAGCGCCAAAAGATAAGAGACAACTATTCATCTTCTTTCGCTGTTCCGGTGTTGCATCGATCCAGCGTTCAGGACGAAACTCTGCGGCATCGGCACCATAAACCTCGGCGTCTTGATGGATAACCCATGGGGAACAACCAGCGATACTTCCACCAGGAATAAAGTGTCCACCAAGTGTAACTCCACCAGAAGGCACTATTCTCTCGAGAGTCAGCCCAACTGCAGGGTGACAGCGAAGGGCCTCGTTGATGACAGCGCTCAGGTAGGGTAGATCCCTTACTTCCTCCCATTGCACAAGCCCGTCATCTCTCGAGAACCGGCCGGCCTTGCTCTCGGCTGCGAGTTCTTTGAGAAGACTTTCCATCTTTGGAGGGTCCTTCAGCAGGTAGTAGAAGACAGCTCGCAGTGTAATCCCGGTTGTGTCAGATCCCGCAAACATATTGGCTACTGTCAGGGCCAGGACAAGTTGCTCAGTGATAAAGTCGGGGTCTTTGTTGTGCGCCTCTTTGAAACGATTCAGGAAGTCCCTCCTCGGAGCTTTTGGCATATCCGATGCTTCCTCATGCTGGCGTTCGACAAGGTGCTTTCTCGCAAATTCGGCAACTGGCGCACTCGAGTTAAGGAACCCATATTTGACTAGCCAAATCTTGATGGGGTTCTTTATGAACAGGTTATCTAGGAACGGGATCTGGCCAATCTGTACAGGTTTTGTTGTCAGTGGCTGAAGCGTGAGAAGTTTGGGAAAGTCGTTACCCATGACACGTAATTTAAGAAACTCTCTAGATCCCGGATAATGTTGTCAATATCGATACCTTTCTCGACAAACCCCAGTCGCTTGGAAAATGTCAATTCTCCAATCACATCAAAAGCGTAGAACTGGAGCCACGCGCCAAAGTCACAAATGCCTGCATTGCCGGTCTGGTTGGAAAAACGAAGCTTGAGCTGCCTGATGAACTCGGCTGATGTTGAATCGACAAAGGGTTCGAATGTGACAAGGGTGCTCATTGCATAGGCATTAGACACTGATCTTCGAAGTCTGGCGTGATATCTGTCGTTGTCTGTGTTGAACATGGTTTCGAGTCTCTTTCCTTTAGCCAGAGCTTGCTGCACCGGGTAGAACTTCGACTAGAAATAGTGATCAATCAGCTAGCGATTCTTCGGTTGACGGATCTCCAAGTCACCTTCGACCATCCTGCACTCGGACTGTAAATGACCTTCAAGGCGTCTGTATCTGCAATAGATACTGCTCGAGGGCCCAATCTGACAGCAGGTCCGTACTTCTTGTGTAGCTCGATATGTACTTCTTGTGCTCGACGACCACGAACGACGAGAAGCCTCCATAGATCTGTAAAGCCAGCAAGCCAAGGGCCAGGTACATGATTCAGACCATGTCCGTATTTATTGTATATAAGACGGGTCAAGATAACTCCGATAAGCCATAGCACAGCTGCGCTGAAAGATTGAGGTACTATGCGTTCTAAGATCATTGTCGGACGTGAGTTTGGAACTACGATTACCGTTAACGACTACGATTAACAGCCCATTGCAAGGCTTCAATGATATTTCAAGATGATGGACAAGACATCCGTCGACGGTATTTCGGAATTATCCCGGAACACTATCCGGTCCCGTTTACGGCTGGCGGTGGGGCTTCGGAAGACGACGACGCTGCTCGCATATAATGTCAATTGCTGTATAGCAGGAAAAAATAGCTAGAGACATATCTAGAGGTTAAAATTCATATAGCTGATAAAAATAAGTTGGTAGACATAGCAGGTCCAACTGCGCTTGCAAACCACTTGGTGTTAAGAGATGATGCTAATGGTTAACTCTGCCATGCATGAAATGACCTTGCTATGAGTTGTGCAATTGACTTTAACGGAACTTAGACCGGAATATATCTATCACGGTATTGCTCGCCTCCTCAGCCCCCATGTCCCACGTAATGAAAATCCAGAAATTCCGATTACCTTAAATCTTTCCCTCCGGTATTTATCATCCTACTTGCAACTATACGAACTCAGGTCAAGTAAGTTGTTACTACATCCTCCGATTGCAAACGACTACTGCCTGATATTGGTAGGCATAATATTATATGCATTTCTGTTTATTACCTGCTTAGCCCTCCTATACCATGAGTCCCTCCAACCAAGAAAGCTCTAATGAGGGAATCACAGGAATTGCTTATCCTGTCAAACGATACATAACAGGCCATGACCTGAGCACTGGAGAAAGCATTTACACAGATGCACCTGAGTTATGTACTGCGGAAGTGCCTGGCTTTGGAATAGCATCACGCTCTTATGCTACTCTGAAGCTACCTACAGAATTGGCGGATAATCAAGACCTGAAGGCACACCTCTCACACGACTCTGTTACTAGCTATACCCGGAGTACGGAATTTCTCGTTCCCTCATCAGGATTGAACACTCAAACAGGACAGATTGAGCTGGGAGGGGCAAATGTGATGAATCTTGACATCGACCCCGGTGCGGTGGGTCATATGCATCGAACAGTGTCTTTGGATATCTCGACTTGTGTGATGGGAGAGGTATATCATGAGCTTGATAGTGGCCAAAAGGTCCTATTGAAAGCTGGGGTAAGCTTTCTATGATTCTTTTCTTATAGTTCGACGGTCTTCCTTGTAAAACACCGCTAACAGTCGCGTCTTGTAGGATCACATCGTTCAGCGGGCAACTATGCACAGGTGGATTAACGCCTCCAAGAAGCATCGTGCTCGAGTAATTGCAGTTCTTCTTCCATGCGCCCCATTCAAAGTCAATGGTCAATACGTGACAGAGGAGCATAGGTTTGGTTAATTGATAATATTTGGCATAACTGCTACTGTCCCGTGGAATTATTGCAACTAAATCTCAGCAATGTAAGAATATACATTAGCTGAGATAAGTGTATTGGTATTCTTTATTTACGAAATGTAATTGAGATTTTAGATATGGCTTTGCAATGAGTGTGATAACCTGCCCGTAGAATGAGCACGTATCAGGAGTGGTTTTACCCCTGCTCGAACGAAACGCGTGCAGAATAGGATACAGAAACAGACCTATGAGGTCCGAATATCAAGGTTTACGACAATCAAAATTTAGCCACTTCGGTGGCACGATAGCCCTTCTCCTATTCTGATCGGACCGAAACTAACACCCCGCAACGTTTGGGCCGAGCTTTTGGGCTACGGTATAATATCTCAGATAACATGCTAACCCTAAAGTCTGTCCTTGCCTAAAAGCTATAGTAGGGGCATTATGATTCAAACGCTTCATTATGACCGCGCCAGGAGGAAAACATTTTATTTATGATTAGCTTAATATGCTGCACACACACCATGAGTTATTTAGTAATTTATAGAAAACTTGCTGGGAAGCTGCAGTTCGCTTCTCAAGCCCAGACGCAAATGAAAAATTCAAGGTACATCCCCAGGACACGTTGCAATTCACGCGGACTGACATACTCGAGGTGCTGTTTGCTGATACGCGCCGTCATCTCATGACCCTTCCTAGACTTCTGCACCTGACGTGGTGGGAGCATCCTGATGACTGAAGTTGGTATAATGAATGAAAAGGAACACCACTGATAAATGAACAAAGGTTAGTTCTGTGTGAGTTATTTATTTGGAACCACTCAGTCTCCAACGTCACCAAAGAAGTTATCGTTGTTTGGGAAAGGCCTCACATCTCCCAGTGGCCGAAGCAATACTGTAATAAGTGACTACGTATTGTGCCTTATGGGGCCTCCCAGAGCGCCTAGTACATTACTCTGCATATACACTCTGATATGGCTCGTTTGGCTGTGAGCCTAGGCGTGCTGCAAGTATGTGACTTTAACCCTTTACAAGCTTGCGGTGCCAAAAGTCAAGTCTGCCGTGGCGGAGGCTGTGCTGCTGCGCCACCACCTGACAGATGTGCGGAGTACCAAGAATCCTTGGACAACACCTATCTCTAGTCAGGTAACTCCAGACTTTTGGCATGCAATTTTACTGAAGGCCTATGCACGCGTCCCTATCTGGTGCCACTTTCGAGTTTTTGGTGTGCGCTCTTTACATTCCGGGAGTATTTTACACTTGCGTGGGTGCCATGTTTTAGCCTCAGTAAGCATCTTAAACTCTTCGTTTTTCAAGGCTCACTCAGTTGCAGCCTGCAGACTCACGGACGTATAAAGAATCCAATCCAAAAAGCCACACGTGCGAGTTTACCTCAAGAACTAGAAGTCTATGCTGTACATTCTCTTCACCTATGACTGACTCTCAAAAGACCCCAAAGCTTGCGACTACGGCGCCTGACGGGAAGCCTCTGATTCGGCAATCGCCATACCGACCGCTTGACGACGGTAAGGATGAGATTCGCCTTGTCACAATCAAACCACTGCAATCCGGCGCGCTTGTCCAATGTCACCTCTCGACGGCTTCATTGAAAGACTTCCGTCCTGAATACCTGTCTTTCATTCACGCATCGGGACTCGTTGAGCACTCAGTACGACGAGTGCTCCCAAAATGGATACGATCTTGCAATCAGAGACCCCAAGCTCCACCGGGGAAAGACGCTTTCCCTGTGGTTCCTGAGCCATCTCAAGTTGCTCACCGTTACCGCTGGGGCGACTTTGCCGCTCTGTCGTACGTTTGGGGGGAAGAGAAACGGGAGATCATATTATTGAATGGAACTCCGTTTCCAGTTACAAAGAATCTCGAGATTGCCTTGCGAGCACTGGCAATCAACAAAGAATTCCAGGGTGATTATAAAATCTGGATCGACGCCATTTGCATCAACCAAAACGATGAAGTCGAGCGCGGAAGTCAGGTTCGGAAAATGAGAGAGATCTATGGCGGAGCTTGGGTGGTTGTCTCATGGCTTGGAAACAACAATGGACGGGCAGATGTTAAGGATGCCTTCCACCTTCTTCGAACACTGGCGTCTCTATCTGAAGATGAACAGGAGCTAACCAAACTGCTTATTCAGCGACCAGGCCTCGTGCGAGAGGAAGGCTTCTTCGCTCTTCACGAGCTCATGAAACGGTCGTATTGGTCGAGGCTCTGGGTTATCCAGGAGGTTGTAATGGGTGCATCCTTTACCATTTTACGGTGTGATGATGAGCTTCTAGACTGGGAATGTTTCTGCAACGGTATTTCAGTCTTGTATCGTGGACATAACTGGACCCTCAAGGATCTTCTGTTGGAGAGAGAGTATAAGCGAAGGAATCTTAGATTTTCGGGATGGCACATCACGAGCCTTCATCTTGTTCACCAGGCGCTTCGTGAACTTATCTCGTATGAAGGTGAAGGTATCGGCACCCGTCTTGGTTTCCGGCGTCTCCTACAGGTCGCCAGCTCTGGCCAGTGCCGGGATGTCAGGGACAAAGTTTTCGGTCTGCTCGGACTGATGGACCCCGAAATCGCAAGAGAGGTCGGACATGATTATAGCCTCAGCCCTCCAATACTATTTGCAGCCGTGGCCAAGGCCTTTATTAAGCATACTAACAGTCTCGAGCCTCTACGGTTGGCGAATCCATGGGGGAGAAACGGTTCACCCGCATGGGCAGCAGACTGGACCTGGAAAGGAAGAATGCCATCATGGCGACCTGGTTCAACTTTCACTGGCTCAATTAGCAAAACAGGGGCCTCGACCCTTCCACCAAAACCGGAGACAGTGTATAATGCCGACAACGGCACCCCTTCTGTCTACAGGTTTCTTGACGACTGGAGATGCCTTCAGTGCGATGGTTTCGTGCTGGATGCGGTTGGTGGACTGGGTGCGCCCGAACGATACTCGTTTGAATGGGATTCGGATAGCATCATCCCATATCCTTCATGGAGAAGCGCGTATGGGAACAGAGAAGAGACATCAAATGCCCTGATGCGAGCACTGCTAGGGTTACGCCATACAGATCACGGCGGAACTCAGTTGCATAACTTGGCTCTCTCGTGCCTCCCGTCTACGTTTCTGACAGCCTTCCCGCAGTTCGTTGAGCGAAAATGGTCGTGGCTTGCAAACCAGCAAGGCTACTACTACAAGTGGGAAGGTTGGCGGGAGGCACATGATGACTTTATGCTAGGCGAACATCCACTGGGTAGCTTCTTTACGGATTCCATTCCAGCTGATGCGCATGAGTCTACTTATGTTGATGTGTATTGCAATGTTAGGGAAATGGTCATGGAGCGACGGTTTATGCTCACAAAACGGGGTTATTTGGGCTGGGCCCCTGATAACTCACTTGATGACCGTGAGGAAAACCATACCAGAATCGGTGATCTTGTTGCTATTTTGTTTGGATGTAGTACCCCTCTCATTTTACGCCCGCGAGGGGAAGGATTTGTAGTTGTCGGTGAGGCTTATGTGGAAGGGTTTATGAACGGAGAGTCACTTTGCCTGATAGAAAGTGGAGAGTGTGAAGTGCAATCTTTCTTACTATGTTAATATATACTGTACTGCTCTCTAAAATTACTGGACATTTAATTCTGCTCTTAGCTGTCTATATCAGTATGTTGCTATTGTTGGAGTTGATGAGGCTGGCTTCCAAGGAATGATTATTATTCATACCATCGCCTTCTGAAGCCTTTTTGGCACCAAATAGCATAATATACTTACCTTGCACCTCGAGTAAAGCCGAGTATATGAAGAAGCCATACTTGCCTAATACTTTCTATCATCGCCCTCCTTGCTAGTCGGGTACTACCACATCTGCGACGAAAGAACACTACGACACAAGGCGTTGATACTTCAAGTGAAGGGGACAATTCAAGATTAAATAATCTTTGGAGATATTTCCGGGACGAGAAGGCTTATCGAACACCAAAGAAATGGCGTCACAGACACTTCACCTGTGAGAAAAATGTCAACTAACTCCGTGACTCAAGACATTGGCGTGCATTGGCCGCAAATGACTTAATCAATACAGTTCATCTTTCAAATCCCAGTACCATTTCTCAGGGATGCCCCTCTCAAATTACCATCAAGTTCGATCGCATCTATTGAACTTGACACACCCGGACCGAGATAAGGGTTTCTTGAAGGCATCGGCCTGTTCTTTCATAGAATTTGATCAGAGAGGTAAAGCATGACGTCTTTCGCTCCAATAGCAACATCGTGCTTCTTACTGAGATCCCATCATAGTAAGACACTGCTACTCTCCAAGTCCATTGTCTTAACCATACTCCTCTTTGAGTTCAGCAGCGCATTCGGTAACAGACTCGGTTCCTTTCTAGCTTCCACGCGTGATCAGATCGTGACCTACTCAGCCTTATACTTTGCGACGCCATTCTAAGCCTAATGACCGAGAATGTTGAACGGAGACCACTGATCGAATGCAGTTACAAGATCTCGGCCATCTTTGCATGACTTCCAGTAGTTGTATATCATGATGGGGCGCGTTTGCTTGGACTTCACGCTCAGAAAGCTCCACTTCACTGCCGTTATTCACATAGCTGCTGAATGGTACCTGAAAACGCAAGCCTATTGTCGCCAGATCAGCGCCCTTGATAAACATCACCGCAAGCGGTTTACCCCAGATGCCGAGATGAAAGTTGCTCTGGAGGGGAGGCGGATTGACAGCAAGCTTTGGGACTTGTGGGCTCAGTGTCCATCTGTTATATCTCTGTCTACGGCTGAACTGTCGATGTCCGTCGCTCCCGACGTCGTAACGAGAGTACAAGAAGTCTCGAGCGTGTATCTAGCCAACTTCTGGATCCTGTTCGTCTATCTTCACCGCGTCTGTTGGTGGCATCTTCCGTATACTGAAGCAGTAAAAGACGCACTAGAGGAGACATGGGAACATATGAAGAACTCATATGGAGAACCGGATGAAAAGATTCAACAGAAGACAGTCCACCCGGCTCTAATGTGGCCAGTGTTCCTTTTTGGGGCAGAATGCGAAACTGATGAGCACTGCAGTTGGGCCATTGAGCAACTTAAGGCCTTGGGGAGGGCGAGACCGGTGCTGAAATCTCAGAATCAGAACCTAGAGACTTTACCAGCATTTCGTATTAGTCACGGAGCCACAAGGAATGTAAAAAGGGCGGCTCTTTTACTTGAGGCCCTTACTCGAAAACAAGCGAAGAAAAATTGCAGAGTTGATGATAAGGACCTGGCCATAGATATGTTTAATTGCTATTTCGCAATGGTATAATTCTTAAGTTAATTCTTTTAGGACGGTTCGCATAGCAATAAATCGTTGGGCTTTTATAGTTTATATACAGTTTAGTATAGCATTGCGGATTATCTACCCCCTAATAAGCCTCTTAATCTATGATGCTTTGGCGGCCTTTGCAACCTGGGAGACAGGTGTCTCTGTTATAATATCATCGAAACTATAAAGAACGCTAGGCTAAATGTAAAATTCAGCCGACACTCTGTCTTTCCATAACTGCGAAGTAAAGGCTACTGCCTCGTCGCAAAATACTTTATATGAGCTAGCGTCTATGAATGTTGAAGGAAAGCCAGTAAGATTCTGAGCTTGAGCTGGTGCAACTAATTCACTTATATCAGGGCCCCCATGCTAGTTACCGAGAAAATATCCCCAGGCCATCTGATTGAAGTCCCCTAACCAAAGTGTCTGCTCAGCAAGTTGTCTCGAGGAGACAGTTTAGTCCTGGTTTTCTAATATTGGTGTTAAAATAGTTACTTTAAGAAGTAAAGGGTTACTTTCTTTTTATATAGTATAATATAACAAGCTATAATTACTGTATCTAATAAATACAGAGCGCTCGGCACTGCAACTAGTTAAGCCAATATATAAACACTAACACAAGATTAGATTGGAGTGTTCAAACCCCTATCTCCTCTCTTAGTAGTCATATCTGTAGCAGAGATATCCGCCCTGGATGTCCATGACATTCCTGACAGTAACGTTCGGACGAATGCCGTAGGTAGTCATAACGTAGTCTAGAGTCAACTCTTCATATCCTCCCTGCGTGGAAGGGCCGCCTAGTTGATATAGGCGATTGCCAAAGTCTTCGGACTGCCACTTCCACCAAAGACGATCTACAAAACCGTGATGGAGATAAAAGAGCGGGTCTAAGCTGGTCAGCTCGTGATCAAGGCGGGAGGGCAACTAGGGACCGACAATATAAACTTACCTCCGGGACTTGCATCGATCTCTCCCATGACTCCGCCGATCTATAACGCCGATCAGTCGGATGTTTCACATCTCTCCTCTCAGTGTACTTACTCCACTATGACCAGCGCCATGGGTTGTGAAACCGGTCGCCTCCCAAAAGTCGCGGTAGCTGCTTTTATTATGGCATTGCTGAACATAGGTTTCGTTGCCGAGGGTGCTATTCTTCTCGTTAACTGAGCGGGATAAACAATGGTCCTTCAAAGTTTGGCCCGGACCAATGTGAAGAGTGGTATTTGCAAAAGGACCATCAATAACACATCCATCTGGATCGGTCCCATTCCCACCAAATCCTGTGTGAGGATCAAGGAGCGGTGAGCCCATGAAATTGCCTGCGTCGCGGGTTTCATCCCACCAACTATATTGTCAGTGGCGGGATTAGGAAAATATAGTTGTAGTGGTAGGACTGACGGCGTCGGTCCTTTATACCCGCACTCCTCTCTTAAGAGTTGCTCATATACATATAAATAGAGACGGTGGAATGGCAGGAACTGCGCCTGTATTTATGAAGAGCTAAGTTAACAAAGCATATCCTCTTATCCCGGCAATATATTTAGGGAATGCTGACAACCAGATGAATTATTTTCGCCTGCACCTGATGCATGGCATTCATGTCGTCAAACCTTGTGACTGTACCATTTATACCTGTCTGAGCAGGCAGCTGCATAAGACAATTTACTGCCTTCAGGTAGAATTCCTTGTCAGCGTTTGCCATATTCGCCCATTCAATACGTGTCTGAATTGTCTCGGGTGTGCATGTGCCGTTGCTGGATGATATGGCGGGTACCGGGAGTACCAGAGCCAGTATTGCAAATAGAATGAAGAACATGGTTGAAAGAGCGATCAATCTTGGCCAATTAACAAATTATTGATGAGAAGATCCGGTGGCCTGCTTCAGCCTACCAGTCAGCCTATATGAGTTGTCTGAATAGAGTTACGGGAGGACCTAAGTCTAATATAGTACGATTTTACCAATAAACCCATTGGCTTTGAATATGGAAATGATCTGCGTAACACAGCAGCTACCCAGTCCCTATCTTTTACACTCTCGGCAGAGGCTTGAAGATTGCATGCTTTAATCACCGGCCGCGCGGCGTCCACGCGTCATTCTCCACGCAGATATAATATATCAATAGGGTTTATATCCACTTATGAGTTTCAGGTGGACCGATGGCCGCCGCGACCTGCATACCACTCTTGAATAGTAGAGAAGGGATTGCCAGAACAACAGGATGCAACTTGGACGGCCAAGAACATATCTCAGAAACACCACAGTAAAAGTCAATGAAGTCGCTCACCGCGTCATCTTCCACACATCAACAGGGACTATATCCACTCATGAGTTTCAGGCAGCCCAATCATCGTCACTGCGCAGGTTGTCCACCGGAAAAGGGCAATGGGAGCCGACGAGGCACAACCGATAAGCCTGTCCAAGGTGTCACTTTCGGAGCTAGAGGTGCATCACGAGCTTCTATCTACGCATTGTCCTCCCATCTCCATGGCCGAACATCAACGTTTTGAATCGAGATGACAACGAAGTTGAGGATTTCATTCATGACTCCAATTAAGATGACGGGGCAAGTCACACAACTTCCGGGAAATTGCTACGTTGTGGGCACGGTACCCGACTTGGAGCCGGCCACTGAGAAAGAGAGGAGTTGCAGCCATGCTTCGGACTTTTTCGGAGAAGCCAGAGGAAGGGGCGGTGTTAGACATGTGCTTCAAGCCGCGGAGATCAACCATGATTAAGTTCGGTGAGAGTTTTGAATGGCCCCGTGTAGAGGGTACGCACGTTGGATACCAGATTAAGGCGCAAGGGCGGCATTGGGCTCGGGATGAGGTAGTCGAGTCCTTGGACAAGGATGGTGCTTGGAGTACCCTTCTCAAGGCTGCGTAGGAAAGCATAAGCATAAATTCTAAATGACTATCCGCTCGTATGAAACATCGGGGATCTGGCTAGGTAAAGGCAGTTAGAATAGCCTATGAGGTAAGACTTTCAGCTTCTGACTATAGACACAATGCCTAATAATACTTATCAGAAAGAGATAGAGATGACAGCCCTGGAATATATATATATATAACTGGCAGGTAGACATAGCTATTCGACGAGGCTGGAGACAAACTATGGCGCACGTTCAGGGTGACCGGGTAGACGGCGAGCTATTCTTATACCATATGATATAGTATAATACATACTTATCTGCAATATATGCTTGTTGTATATATTACCCTATTTATCCCTATCCACCTTACGAAATACACTTTCCACCTCCCTAAATATACCTTAATTCTATGCAAACCACACTATTGCCCGCTATTAATACAATCTGATCAATATTCAGACCTAGCCCTAAATCTTACTTCAAAGGCCAACACCTCATCTCCTAACCTGGCTGCAAAACGTTGTTGCCTGCCTTATGTAAAACGTCTGCAAAGCCTATCTCCCCACGCCCACAGAATTAGGCATCTCAACCGCTGGTTCCTCGAGTCTTTGCCCAGGCAACTCAGCTGGCGCCACAAGCTTTTCCTTTGGTGGTAGAGGCGGAGGTTGAGGTGTGAGTTCATCGGAGTTAGGGACGCTAGATTTGTTTGCAATTATCCCACAGGGCTGGATTAGGGCAGAGAGGTCATACTAGTTTGTGTTCAAGCTGCTTCTGTCTTGCGACATCATCCTTGTAACATCCTGCGGGAAATTGTGGGAAGGAGTAATCGGTGGGCTAGTGCCGTGACTCTGGCCGGAGCTGCTAGCTATTGGACTCATAGGCTTGTATACCCAGCAACCCGGGGCTGTACTATTCGGCGAGCCGACCCCAGCTTCAACCACAGGTAGTGTTCCGTTCAGGTTGCTAGGCATGGCGTTGTTGCTGAAGGCTTTGCGATATGCCTCGTTGAAGCCACCACGTCTGCCACAGAGGTAGATAACGCAAATTATAAGAAGAAGTACAGCCGCGCTACCGATTACAATGCCAGCAATTGCGCCGCCGCTGAGACTGTTCCCATTAGAGGGGTGGTAAGATGAACTGCCGGTTTGGCCTGAGGTGGTCGGTTCGGGTATTGCAGATTTTGTCGGTTCAGGTATTGCAGATGTACTCGAGGTGTTGGGGCCTTCCTTTGGGAAAGGTTCGCCGGGCCTTAGTTGGTAATCAACATTATCTGCCTTTTTAAGCCAGTCTTTCAAGGTCTCATTCTTCAACTACACTTATTGTCAACAGGTTGGGCGTATGACAATCTTTAGTCAGGCTTACGGGATTGACAACGCCCATCATATGGTACCTGACACAGGATCCAGGAGCACCGCAGTAATAAAAGATGGGTTCGGTATTATTGACTCTTACCCGGAATCGGGGAGCCTGGCAGCATTAGTTCTGCTGTTTCGGGTATTAGACCGCTTAGCCACTTACATCGTTGGTTATAGCCTTGACGGGCTGGAGGCCACTTGAGAAGCCTGTCCTATCTACATCAACGTACTCGTATGGGATGCATGGGTTGTCAAAGTCTCCTCGAATTACCCAGTGCGCGTCGGGATAGAAACGATATTCGAGTATATCTCCGACATCCGCTTTAATATCATTAGGAGTAAACTTATGTCCAGCCTATACCATAGGTTAGTGCAGGCTAAGAACTTAATATAAGAATTAACTAACTGCACCAACGTTAATCGTATGTGTCGTAATTGCCGTTGTAGTAGCAGTAATTTTCGTCGATAAGGGGGCCTCGGTCATCTCTATATCCACGGTCTCAGGGGCCTTCTGGGCCCAAGATCCCACGAGGATGGAAGATAGTCCCAGGAACTGCTTTGGCAACATGGTCACAGGCTCTCGCCGTTCTGATATAACACAGTGTTCATACACAAAGAAGCGATACTTGTTTAAGAAGTCAAAGAGGAGAAAGAGTCGAGGTGAGGCAGAATATGCGAGATCTGAGTTACGGGTTGATGATAGAAACAGGCCGCGGGAAGTAGGGAATGTGAAGAGAGGGAAGCGTCCAAGATAACTGTCACCAGGCAGATCTGACGCTTGGCGGCTGAGAAGAAACATGCTACGGCTGGTTATGTGGTACTTGTGTACATACTGGGAACTAAGACCTGTGTGGGCAGCGCGGTGCTGAAGATGCTTGCGGCGAGACGGGCATCACCGTCAAGTGACAGCTGGCAACATGCAGCAAACTTCTGCTGGCCACAAAAAAGTTTAAACGTGATCTTACCAGCTGGCTTCCCTCACCGGGAAGCATCGAACCTTTGGTAGGGTGGACATTTATTGAGGAAAGCAATCAGAGATGTCAGGTTACAGAGTCGATGTAACGATGAGTGACGTATAGAAACGAAGCATTATGACTCTGGTCTAATGTGGCTACGAAATGTCTCTAACAAAGAGGCTTCGAGGCGTGTTCATGATCCAAGAAATAAAGAGCCACAATCACTCCTGGCTTCGAAAAGGGTCGTAATGGCCATTCTGGCCAATAACATGAGCCAAAAAGATGACAACCTCAGCCTCAGGCAATGCTTCTTGAACCTTCATGAGCCCTTGATTTCCTTGACTAACATTCGCTGGTTCATACCCGTGTGTCGAAGCGAATATTACTGAAATCCACAGATTGAGATGATGGTGTATTGCGTTGAGATGCAGAGATGATTTAGGGGCAACTCGCCTACAGCTGTTCTAGATGGAATTGTGCCTTATAATTAAATTTATTGCTATCTAAGCAATCTTGATCGAATTTAATGGGGATATGCGGTTGCTTATTAAACAGGTCAATAGGAAGACCTATGATCCTTTTAAGTAGAAAAAAAAGGATGCGACATGTGCCTACTGTATCCGTAAGTTGGCATGCCACATTGGCAAGCTGATAGGGCAAGCCGGGAGCTTATTTTCCTTCGGAACTTCCCCTGTAGCCACCGCACTCCACGAACATGCAATATAGTAACCAACACGTCATTATGCACCACGCTATGTTGCGAACTCGTTTTGTCTCTGTACTGATTTAGTGTTAGGGTTTGCTTATCTAGCTTGCTTACTGGCACTGTAACTAACCACCATGGCAGCGTCGGCGTTTGTGAGGGGGGCAGATGTGCTGTCGATATGGTTGTCGCTTCCTCTAGAGGTCGTTCTGCGGGTGGCATATTTGCTATAATGGGGAGAGATCGAGATTAGCGGGGCCACATAGCAGAAACTGGCAGTGTTGTGTCGGCTTGCAGGATGTCTGCTTTACTACCTCAGTATCCTAGTGTAGTTAGACCCTGCACCGCAGATGTTGTCGATCCAAGCCATGGCGTTATAGTTTCGATAATCACATGCAGCCTCCCACTAAACCTAGAATAACATTACATGCTGCCGTCTTGATTGTAATGGTTGCTGCACAGACCGAATTTGCGTGGATGGTGTGTAACCTAAAGGAATTAAATGCAGACTTGATTTTGCTTATTGAAATACCAACAGAGCTGGCTGCAACTATCTGGCAAAAGCCCATCGCTACACCTACGGCACTACATACTGTACGAGGCTTGTTAGCTTGCAGCCTCAGCGGTTAGTCATTATTAGCATTTATTGGTTAGACATGGCCGTTTGAATGCTTTCTCACGGAGGGCAATTAGGGTCTGCTTCCTGATGACTCCAATCGAACAACTCCGGAGTGGCGCAAATGCGAGTGCGTCAAGTACACAGTTTATATCTATAGTAAGCCAATGATCAACAGCGTTGTGTTTCTGATCCCCAGGCAAGGGATCAATTGGCCACTTGAAGTCCTTCACAGTATGTAACATTCGAAGTCACCCTTCAACCTGCCACCTTGACCATGTACCGTATAAAGCAAGCCGTTCAAGTTAGCAGCGAAGATGTACTCAACGAAAGTGGCTCGGAAAATGAGGGAGACAATGGTATAGTTAAGGTTACAGTATGATTTTAACTATTGGATGGCGATTAGCGAGGCGAAGCACTACACATGCTCCGGTAGGTTTAGAGCTAACGTATGGACCCAGGCATGTGAAATGTGTTAAGTCGATGCAGTATAGAAATAGAGGTTTTTGAGCCTCAAGCCACCCTTGCAATGTATTGTAGATCCGGCTGGCGTCCGGTCACTTGGCCAAGGCTTTCATGGCTGCTCAGCTCCTGGGACAGAGCTGACTCCAAGACCAATCAGCCCAATCAATGTGAGCCTAGCCATATACCGGCGATGTAACCCAGACTGTGAGGGCTGTCCGCCTGCTGATCGTGCTCGTGCTCGTGCAAGAGGCTCTCGGAATCAGTGTTCAAGATAATAGTGAGAAAACACGCCAAAGGACGACGGGCAAGAATGGGGACGTGGCCTGGTCATTAAATCCAAGCGCCGCCTTTCCACGTCTATCTCAGTTCTCAACTTCAATGCTCGATTGACCTTGATTCGTTTCCATCAAATATGCACTCTAATATTCTCATTATTGCCACCTTGGCCATGCTTGCCGCCGCGGCATCCGCTATATCCCACAAAGTCGAGGTTGGCAAGAGGGGGAATTGGGATTCGCTCTTAGTAACATCACAGCAGACGAGGGAAATATCGTCGAGTTCTATTTTAAGACAATGTATAGTGTTGTTGCCGGCGATTAAATTTCTACATGGAATTTTATAATATCAACAAGATATAAATAATACAATAATTAATATAAGTATTTACTCATATTAAGTATTTCAAGTAATATAATAATTATTATTTCAGTTTTATATTTAAGTAGTACTTTTTAAGGGGTTTCTTATTTACTAAGAAATAAATTATTTACTCTAATAGTAATAAGGGTATTCTTAACACCTTATCATACTTATATAACTATCTTAAGAAAGTCTTTGGCGTTCTCGGAGGGGAAATTCTTATCTGTTGGTGTGAAGAGGGTGAGTTATTAATCTAAAAATGCGGGATGTAGTTGCATGTGGCAGCGGGATGTTCATAGTCAATGCGTCGAACAACTCATCATCATAGTTCAGCAACAAGCAAGAAAAACTCACCTTGGTCTCTATTGAAAGCCTGAGATAGGCAGGCGTGAAAGAATCTTGTTTGCATTCCTATGGGCTCTTGTGTCAAGCAGGGAAACTCTCCATGAACCCCTCGGGTGCGGCCTGGAGGCACTTCTCGAGGACATGGCCATGACTTTGAACCGCCAGCTGTAGACATCATCTCATTATCGTCCGCTTACTCTTCCTCTTTATAGTCCGAGACTTGTGTCCCGGTGTTGACGCGGGCTGCAAGGCGTTTATTGAAGCCGGTGCAGCTGTTGGTCGGACCTTTGTGCACATGGTCCTCAAGATGTGAGAAATGACGATTGAGACCTATTCCTTCCAATAGTACGTGTCTCTTTACTTCAGGCATCCCCTCGAGGGTCCTCTAATTTAAGCATCACCACAAGAGGTTCAAGGGAGAGCGCCGATAGAGGCGCAGACAAATCTTCCACAAAGTTAAGCGAGAAGAGATGAAGAGAGCTTGCTTTTCAGGCGAGATCTGAATATCGGCGACAGGGTCGGCGGCGGAGGAGGAGGGGAAGGGGCCATGATGGAGGATGAGAAAAATAACGACTTGGAGTTTGTATGTGTTGGAGGATGATGAGAAGGGAGAGAGAATCGCCAAGTCTTGGTTGGGTAGCTTCAGTTGAACGTTCGTTGAACGGAGCAGGTAACATCACAAAAAGATATGGATGATGTTTGGCACCTTGGATATCGAGCATGCGTAGCAAGTGAAGATGGTTTGAAGATATTAGTGAGACCCTTGAGTGGCATAAAATCAGTTTGCCAGTGCCAGTGCCAGACGCTTTTAATAGTATTCTCACCAATGAATAATAGAACTCCGATGGATGGTACAGGTGGGTTGGTCCATGAATGTGGTAGAATGGGTTGCAATATCGGTCACGATAAATTCTAGTTAAATGGAAACACTCGCAAATCAAAACTCTTCTATGCCAACACAAACTTGATCAAGATATCATTACATGTCGGCCAAGTCTATACTCCGAACCTACTCCTGGTGCAACGTCGGATTGTCATTCTCCTTGGGCATGGGCACGAACAACCAGGAAATGGCTGTAGCGACCAAAAGCGCACAAAGAACAGGCTGCAAAACCTTGACGCCGGCGCTGGATGCCACGAGACCAGTTATGATTGGGAACACACAACCTCCGAGTTGTGCGCAGACAAACACAAACGCCAGGGCCGTGGACTTGATGCGATCATTGAAGAGTTTGGAAGCGACCGAGACGCCCTGATCTTGTCAGCTTGATCTACCGTACAATGGAGTGACTCACTGTAGCAAAGTATGGACCCGTGAAGAATCCTAAAAAGCTGATAGCGATGGAAGCAGCAATGATATTTGGAACCCTGTAATCGTTAACAACGTCCAGCCACGCATGACTCGAGGTCGGGTGACGTACAGCCAGAACAGCAACTGAAGGCCGATGCTGATAATTGTAAAACTGAAAATCATCTTACGAACCCCAAAGCGATGTATGGGCTCAGCCAGCAGCATTCGTCCAAGTAGTGATCCTCCATTAAAGCCAGCAGATACAAAACCCATCTGGTTGATATCGCCGTCGCGAACAACGATGAGATACTCAACAACCCATCCACCGGCTGTGAGGACGGCGCCAAGGTAAAAAAAGAAGAACAAGCTAATAAGTAAGAAACCCTTGTTCTTAAATGTGTCTTTTATTAAAGAGAATGCGTCTTCGTTCCTTGAAGCCGGTAACTCATCAGCCTCGAGAGTCCGCTCGGTAAGTGGCCGCTTTCTCTTGAGTCTCAGAGTATCCCAGAATGCATAAAAGACAAAGGCGACGTTAAGAACACCAATTGCAAGAGGAAACGTATAGAATAGAAACCATTTCGGAGTGCCTGCGGCTACGGCAGTAGCGACAAAGGGCCCCACGAGACAACCCGCCATGTACATGGAGTGAATAAAGGCCAGCCATCGATGTGATGCCTTTGTTCCAGCAACATACGTGTTTCCGTGCGTATCTTGGTACGCTTGGCCGAGACTACTAATAAAAAAGGTCACGGTAAAGAGGGCAAATGGCGGCTTCCAAGATCGCAGAACGTGTGCAATAACTTGCAGAATAGCTCCGAGGGCGAGCATGGAGCCAAGGTCAAAGACTTGGCAAAGATGAGTGTTAGAAAAGGCGACAATAAACCATCCCATAAAGTTTGCGCCGTAACTAGGAGGACGGTTAGGTTGAGAACTGAACACGTTGAGCTTTAACTCACACTGATGAGACAATGGCCGTGGTGACGCCATAATCTCGGATGATGTGAGGAATCAGGGCTCCGATACTTCCATCGTTGATTCCGGCGACAAAGAAGGAGAAGCCTGCACTCAAGAGCTTGAGTAGTTCTGCGGTATCGGGCTTGTTGGATGAAGGCGGTGGCTCAGTGTCGTCGAGTGAATTGCTTGGGGCATTTTTTTGGTCGCGAAGCTCGATCGCCTCGGTGCCTGTCTCGGCCTGCGTAATGGTCGCCATTGTCGCCATTGTCGCTACACTTGGAGGGTTGAAAAGAAAGGTTCAAGTTGAGTCGCCAGGTGGAGGTCCAATTCGTTTTTTCCATTTGGGGGAAAAATCGGTTGCCCATCAAGTCCGGGGCCCCGACAATACAGATCATGGCCATAAAACTTTCCAATTATTACCTCACTTTAGTACTGCTGTATGTATTTTAAGCTCTGGAGCGCTTAATGCGTAGTACTTCTGTGGAGCTCTCCGGCCATATCGGGCCGGCATGGCTAAATAGCGGCAGATTTACAGAGGTCGCTTTTAAAAGTGCTTGCCTGCATAGTTAATTTTAAGCAGATTTTGATTATTATTTTCTAATTGCTACTCTAATTTAAGATAAGACATTCATCATACTGCCAACCCTATCCCTACTTGTATTACTAATCGTGAGTTTAAGGATATGGAGCATGCTATTTACATGAGTCGAGTTGAATGAGATAATAATGTACAAGCTCACCAATCTCGCCAATCCGACCCCGCATGCTCAGATTCTCCCCGGATTTCCCGCGATGCTTTCTGGATCTACCCCGGTTTGATAAGAGTGGCACTTTTCTGATAGTGTCGACGCCGCTCTCCGTCGCTTGGGGTTTTGCGGGGTCTCTCCTGCGTGTTGCCTCGCCTTGACGTTGGCTAAGGCTCCATTCACTCCACGCTCGCGAACACAGCCGCGCGTTTGAGGCGACGCGAAAGCCCCTTATGACTCCAAGCGTCCATGGGAATGAAGGGGATCCTCGCCAGATATGGTTATTTACCCTGTCGATCTGGCCTTCCTCGTATGATGATGCTGGGTCATCTACCGGAATTGGTTGCCGGGGATATACCCACTTCCCCTGAACCCGGTTGCAGCTTCACCCGGCGGGTCAGGATTTACTGTGCACAAGGATATCGCATGGTCTTGTGAAGCGCAAAGGAAGTTGACATAGCCATATAATCAAGACTCATTTGCAAATAGTACATCGTCGACTGCTGGATAGGCTGGGGAAGCTAGGTTCCCCTTCCTACTAAGCCTTGCACACTTGCATAGTAGCTCCAGTTCAAATGTTCACCTACTCCCCATACCTGGGGCTCTTGTGAGCGGCAGCTTTATCCAATTGCAATCGAGCTTCATGCAATCCCATTTATCCGCTCTTGTGATCCACCTCCACGGACATAACCTTGGCCTTGCCCTCTAAGTACTGCGTATCAGCATCTTCTCCATCGAAGATGTATGTCATCTGCTCGAGGGTACGGCCTCGAGTCTCAGGGTAGAAGAAGTAGGCGATCACGAGGAAGGCGATGAGAAAGACGATGTAGGTGAAGTAGTACTTCCAACCGATACTCCCAAGTGCGATCGGGTTGACAAACATGTTGAAAATGCCAGCCAGAATACCTGAGGACCACATGACGCTGAAACCTCGGGATCGGAGCTGATACTGCCAGATCTCAATGGGATATGCGATGACTAGTGGTGTCCTAAAATAGTCCGTCTTAGCTGAGCACTGTGCACCGTTTAGACGTACGTTAGTGACTTACAGTGCAATATCGTAACCCGCGAAAAAGACAAAAAGGAGAGGAATGACAGCGACGCCCACAGCAGAGTTTCCTGTGTTTGCGAAAGAGCCCGATAATCCAGTAATGACGATATAGCTAGCCAACATAGTTGCGGCAGACGTGAGGAACAAAGGTCGTCGGCCGAGCTTCTCGACGCATGCTGCCGCTGTGACAGCCCAGATAAGGTTCCAAACCTGCAGGCATGCAGAGATGAGCGTTTGGTGAGTAACGCTGGTGATACCAACAGTCTGAAGGACAAGAGCAAGGTAGTACGAGGCAACGCCGTTACCACTCCACTGACTGAACACTCCCAGAGAAACCGAGATAAGCAGTCTCCATCTGTTGCCCTTGGTCTTGAGCATGTCTGCGTAGCTAGCACTGGCATGGGCCTCCTGCTCGGCCTTGATGGTGTTTGTAATCTCCTCAGTCTCAAATTGGACTAGAGGCGAGTTGATATCTCCACCAGCATGGTGCTTTGCGATGACCTGAGCTGCCTCTTCGTTGCGATCTACGGACGCAAGCCATCGAGGAGATTCAGGCGCAATGAAGAATCCAGGGAAAGCCAAAGCAGGAAGCAGGATCTGCATCAGCGATGGAAGGCGCCAGTCCCAGGAGCTGCCATAGTTCCTAGTTCCGAATGTTACCCATGCCGAGATGATACTGCCAAGGTAGAAGCCGCACTGGAAGCAAGCGGAAGCGATGGCTCGGTGGGTGGGATAGGCGATTTCGTTAATGAGCAGGGGCGCACCACTGGTGTACCATCCTGCTGCAGCACCAAGTAGGCCGCGAGCGGCGATGAAGGCTGCTGGGTTATGTGCTGCCGTCTGTAGAACGGTGCCAGAAACGAGAAAGACGTAGCCGATGTAAAGTCCTGGCTTGCGACCGTACTTGTTCGAAGTCCAGGCGGCGAGGAAGAAGGAAAAACCGTTCATGAACCAGTAAATGGCGTTGATGAATCCAAGCCAAGCACCCTGTGGCATGTTCATGAACTGGTTCCACTTGGGAAGCGCTTGGAGACCGTTCATCAAAGAACCATCGTATCCGTTGGCGGATGCTGATGAGACTATGTTAGCCTCGTCAATTATGCGAGGAGGGATTGTCGCGGGACTTACAGAACATGACCAGGGAGAGAATAATGAAGTTGAGCCTCAATAGATGACCCTGCTTGTACCAAGGCTTTCCATCTGAAGGTAACACCGACGCCAGTGTGTCAGCGACGGTGTCTGCCCTCTTGACTGGAGCTTCGCTGGCACTCATGATATTCAGGTATAGACAATTGATGAAAAAGCGAGGCCTTGTGTCTCTTGCAAGGTTTCTGTGCTGATGTTTGAGCAATGGTATTCTCATGGGTTCGGCTTCAACTTTATAGACAGTCGCATCTCGTTCCCCAACTCGACTGAGGAGCCGAAAGGTTGGGGGTCTAACTTTATCTGGTGGAATCAATATCTGGGGTCGGGGCGACTTAGCGTCTGATTCAAGATAAGAACCATTCTGGGGTTTCTCCAGACCTGGTGATACCTGGTGATACCGGCTAGGTCGGCCAGCATGGGCCCGATAGGTTTTGATGACAGCACTGGCAGGGCCTAGAAGGCCTCTAGCGAGGTTGGCAGTCAGTTGTGCGGAGAATTGGCGGAGAAATATACGTAGTCGTTTAGGCGGAGGAGGCAATATGGCGGAGGCGGAGAATTGCCAGAACTAGTAAGTCCCAGACGCAGGTCTAGGCTTGGTAGAAGGTCAGGACCGATTGGCTATCATTTGAATTTGAAGTGGCCTATAAGAGTGATAAGCTAAAGCTAACATGAGGGCAATTAATTCTCGGCCGTATTGAATATCTGCAAATAACACTTCTGATACACATCTCAGAGAGTGATAAACTGCACTATCTATTCACGCATGATCTCAAGCTAGGGACAATCTAAGTTCTTTCACCCGGTCCCTATTCCATCCCGTTATCATGTCGCCACTCTTGAGCGATACTTGCGCAGATAAGCTATCCGTCGACGAGCTACTCTCAAAACTCACAGTCGACGAAAAGGTCGCTCTTCTTGCAGGTAAGATCCAAACTTCGCATTACGACAGCACGCTCCATTCGGGTGTTAATTCTTGGATAGGCAAGGACTTTTGGCACACGACACCATTACCTCACCACGATATACCATCCATACGCCTCTCCGATGGACCGAACGGCGTTCGCGGTACAAGATTCTTCGACAGTGTTGCTTCGTCATGTCTCCCATGCGGGACAGCATTGGGCGCGACATTCAATACAGACTTATTGGCTGAGATTGGACAGTTACAGGGTCGGGAAGCCAAGGCGAAGGGAGTTGTCTGCGTGCTTGGCCCTACACTCAACATCCAGAGGGGTCCACTGGGTGGCCGCGGCTTTGAGTCCTTCTCTGAAGATCCGCTGCTTTCTGGTATTCTGTCGGGGTACTACACAAGAGGTGTTCAAAAGGAGAACATCGCAACTACGCTGAAACACTTTGCCTGCAATGATATGGAGCATGAGCGCATGGCCGTCAATGTGATTATAACACAGCGCGCGATGCGGGAGATTTACTTGTTGCCATTTATGCTTGCCATTAGTATAGGTGATCCTCGGGCAATCATGACAGCATACAACAAGGTCAATGGCGTACATGTCTCGGAGAGCAAGACACTATTGCAGAAGATTTTTCGGGAGGAGTGGAAGTTTGACGGACTCGTCATGAGCGACTGGTGAGTGGGCTTACGGAAACATCTAAAGATCATCCTTCTGACCTTTTTTGCTTCACCTTCTAGGTTTGGTACCTATAGCACAACAGGGTCTGTTCACGCTGGCCTTGACCTGGAAATGCCTGGCCCAACGCTTTGGAGAGGTCCAGCATTATCCCATGCTATCATGGCCAACAAAGTCACTGAAGAACAGCTCGACAACCGCGTGCGCAACATCCTCAACCTCATCAATTACTCGCGCGCCTCCGGTGTGCCTGAGAACGCACCCGAGAAACGATTGAACCGCCCACAAGACCAGGCACTTCTGCGACGAGCAGCGTCAGAGTCCATTGTCCTTCTCAAGAACAACGATAATGTCTTGCCGTTTGTCAAATCAAAGACCACTGCGGTCATTGGACCAAACGCCAAGATTACCCGTTTTTGTGGAGGCGGCAGCGCGTCGCTTCTTCCATACTATAGTGTTTCACCCTACGATGGCATCGCGAAGCAATGTGAGAAAGTGCATTTTTCACAAGGCGCAATGGACCACCAGATGCTACCACAGATGGGCGATGTGCTTAGGACTGACAAGGGTCAACGGGGCTTCACTTGGAGGGCCTACAATGAACCCGCGACAATCAAGGATCGAGTTCCGTTGGACGAGCGCGTTCTTACCGATTCCAATTGCTTCTTCTTAGACTACGAACACCCTGACCTGGCTCCAGTTTGGTTCTCTCAGGCAGAAGGAATCTTCACACCTGAGGAGAGTGGCCTCTACGACTTTGGACTCGGAGTGGAAGGCACAGGCAAGCTCTTCATCAACGATGCACTCTTGATCAGCAACATCGAGGACCAAAAACCAGGCGAGACGCTATTCGGTTCTGGTACTGTGGAGGAAAAGGGCAGCATGGAACTAGTTGCGGGCCAAGACTATAAAGTCCGGGTGGAATGGGGCTGTTTCAAAACAAGCAAATTGCCACCTTCTGGTCCCGTCGGTGGTCGGCACGGAGGGTTCAGATTTGGCGCGTGCAGACGGATTGACCCTGCTCAAGCCATTGAAGAAGCCGCGCAAGTAGCCAAGTCTGTGGATCAGGTCGTTCTGGTCGTGGGTCTGAATGGTGAGCTGGAGTCCGAGGGCACAGACCGTACTACCATGGATATGAGCGCTCATACCAACGCTCTTGTCTCTAAGGTGCTTGCGGCAAACGTCAATACTGCTGTGGTGGTTCAGTCAGGCACACCTGTTGGTATGCGTTGGATCGACGACGCTAAAGCTGTCTGCCATGCTTGGTACGGTGGCAACGAGACGGGAAATGCTATCGCAGATGTGTTATTTGGTGACGTGAACCCAGTAAGCTTTCTCCCGATCCGACTAGGCAGAGAATCCGGAAGTGATAGCTGACATTGACAATAGGCTGGCAAGCTGCCCTTGACGATACCTCGTCGTCTTCAAGACAACCCTACATACTTCAACTTCCGTAGCGAGGCAGGACGTGTCCTCTACGGCGAGGACGTATATGTAGGATATCGGTACTACGAGAAGATCGATTGCAAACCTCTGTGTCCTTTCGGTCACGGCCTATCATACACCGCCTTCTCGCTCCAGAATCGCAACGTGCAGGTTGATGATGCTTGCAAAGTTACGATTGATATGGATACGGTCCTTTCTACAAGCTACTGGCATGAGGGTCGTGATAAATGGTGTAGCGAGAGGGGTGAGTATAGGGTATTGGTTGGTACGAGCAGTGCGGATACGCCATTGGTGGCGACATTCGCGGTAGACAAAACAAGATATTGGACCGGTCTCGCACCCTAATTTCGGGGGATATATAGAATAGACTAAGACCTAGAAGAGATCATGCAAATAAGCATTGTGCCCTCATGCTTAGAGTAGTGTAACAATGACTCAAGTGGTGCACGTGACCATAGTCTTAGGCGTCCCGGCCTTCGGGTACTTAGCCGTGGCACTTTCTAGCATATCTCGAGCGGGGATGGATCGGCCCGTCTCCTCAATCCTCCCTAGCGATAAGGCGCTACTCCACCCCTACCCATTGGCCAAATATCGAGGATCGACAGCGCTGTCATTGTCTAAGTCAAATCTCTGCGTCTATTACCAATATCGTTTCTCCAGATTGACACTCACTAAAAATGTCAACGAGTCCTACTTCCTCCAGGGTTGTTGCACGGCAAGCATGCGATGTATGTCGCCTCCGGAAACGAAAATGCAGCTTTGGTTCCCAGGGCAGCCTGCTCTGGACGAATATACTAGACTCGTCCATGACGTGCGACAACTGCAAAAAGTCAAACTCCCAGTGCACGTTTCAGTTACCATCGAAAGCACGAGGCCCGAAAAGGAAGACCGAGTACCGACTCAGCGTTTCTGGGTCAGCCCTTTCAGAAGCCGACTTGGGTCTAGAAGCTCAGAGTCCCACTTCGCCACAGTCGTTTTCAAACCCCGGGAGCTCCTTTACATCGCTTGCAGAGCCTTCTGTGTCACCTGCAAGCTGTATACTCCCATATGCGACTGACATCCTTTTCCCGCGAGACCTTGTGCGGTTCATTCTCAACGACTATGTAACATACGTTTATCCACTGATCCCTGTGATTCACCGCCCATCGTTTGAAACAGACCTTGACGGGAATCGTGACTTACACGATGATGATTTTCTCACATTGATCGTCTCTTTATGCGCCGTTACTGTCGGACTATTGCCGTCTAGGTTGCAAACCTATCGCGAGTTCTCAAGTCCCCTGCCATTCCGCACACGCTCAGAGATGGCGAACTGCTGTTACAAGCTCAACCAAAGCTTTCGAGACACGACGTATTTCGATACGGTCAGTCATCAAAAACGGGCGAGTAGCTTTCTCCTAGGCGTCACGTTTCATCAGACGGGCAATAACAACCTCTGGCGGATGTTTGAAGTGGAATCCATGCAGCTGTTACGTCTGTTGGAAGTGCAGCACATCTCGAGCTATGCGGGCTTGGACGCCATAGAGGTCCAACTGCGCAAAAAGGCTTTTTGGTTGATGTTCTACGGCTATTTGCATCAGATGCATAACTTGCGCAACGAGCGGTTGACATTTCTCGACCCTGTAATGTCATGTGAAATCAATTTCGAAGACCTCATGCCGGTTCCCGTGGACGACGAATATATATCATCCAGCGGCATCCTTCCATGTCCTGAGACTGAAGCCTCTCAGTCTCTGACCTCGGGCTTCAACATCCATTCGCGCATTTTCTCGGCTGCTTTAAGACCTCCAGGTTCGGATGCCAAGAGGCATTGCATCTGCAGCCACGTGCAAGATCCCGCGGTGCGTCTAGCGTCTCTCCAAGATAGGGTGCATCACCTCAAGTTTATGCTCGACACGGTGTTGCCGGCATACAGATCATGGAACAAGTCCACTACAGCCGCCGCTCCTACTACTTCGCCTGGGCGAGATAATGTGGCAAATATACAGCGCGAAGCCATTCGTGCCAATATACACGTCACGCAATTGTGGCTTCAAATTATGCTACTTGATCAAATTGACACACTTGGCGGCCAGCGTGGAAAGGGATTCACGAGTCCTTCGATGGCGTATTCTACCTCATCCCCAAGACCACAAGACTTTGCATCATGGGATGAACGCGAAGATATCTGTCGACAATTCCTACATCTCTTGAATTCACTCTCTCAACCCAGTCTAGAACCGAATGGTCTTTCTCTGGTCAGTCAATATTCATCTCGTCACAAGGAAAAAAGTCTAAAAAACCTGATTCACGCTAACATCCTGTTCTTAAACAAATATAGGTGTACAAAGTCAGAGACGTCGCTGTTTCGCTGTTATCGTGTCCATATGATCCTTCTGAAGAGCGGACACGGCGAGCAACAGAGTATCTGCGCGAGTTCGCTAGACTCTTATCCATATTTGATGCCAGCGAGCAGGTTAACTTATTAAGTCTGCAGAGTTGGATTGATACTAGTCGAGATAAGCATACAATAGAGTTGCAAATTCCATTTAACCTGATGGAGTCAGGATGAAATTTACTAATCAGAATACTTCTGTTGTTAGTGAAAGCTTCCATTCAAGTTTCATTAATAAAAAAAAGAGTTGATCTCGGCGACTTAGGTCCTGTTTTGGTACGAACTCACTATATGCCCTGATTCTTATGATGCGTGAAATTGATCACTCATTCCACTAAGTGGGTTAAGTCAAAGGACTGGGAACCTGCTACCCCAGGATCCCGCCAGCCTAATTACACTAAAGTATTATATTCTTAATTTTTAATATTAGACTAAATAAAATTATTATTAAACTAGTATTTTAAGCTTTATATAGTCTTATAATGATATTATATATAAAAATAAAAAGATAATTTTTATTTATAAATTTATAATATAAAGAGTAT